CCTACGTTTATTGGGAACATTGAGGATGATCTGCTCTGGCTGTAGGGTCCACAGCCATAGGATACCTACGTTTATTGGGAACATTGAGGATGATCTGCTCTGGCTGTAGGGTCCACAGCCATAGGATACCTACGTTTATTGGGAACATTGAGGATGATCTGCTCTGGCTGTAGGGTCCACAGCCATAGGATACCTACGTTTATTGGGAACATTGAGGATGATCTGCTCTGGCTGTAGGGTCCACAGCCATAGGATACCTACGTTTATTGGGAACATTGAGGATGATCTGCTCTGGCTGTAGGGTCCACAGCCATAGGATACCTACGTTTATTGGGAACATTGAGGATGATCTGCTCTGGCTGTAGGGTCCACAGCCATAGGATACCTACGTTTATTGGGAACATTGAGGATGATCTGCTCTGGCTGTAGGGTCCACAGCCATAGGATACCTACGTTTATTGGGAACATTGAGGATGATCTGCTCTGGCTGTAGGGTCCACAGCCATAGGATACCTACGTTTATTGGGAACATTGAGGATGATCTGCTCTGGCTGTAGGGTCCACAGCCATAGGATACCTACGTTTATTGGGAACATTGAGGATGATCTGCTCTGGCTGTAGGGTCCACAGCCATAGGATACCTACGTTTATTGGGAACATTGAGGATGATCTGCTCTGGCTGTAGGGTCCACAGCCATAGGATACCTACGTTTATTGGGAACATTGAGGATGATCTGCTCTGGCTGTAGGGTCCACAGCCATAGGATACCTACGTTTATTGGGAACATTGAGGATGATCTGCTCTGGCTGTAGGGTCCACAGCCATAGGATACCTACGTTTATTGGGAACATTGAGGATGATCTGCTCTGGCTGTAGGGTCCACAGCCATAGGATACCTACGTTTATTGGGAACATTGAGGATGATCTGCTCTGGCTGTAGGGTCCACAGCCATAGGATACCTACGTTTATTGGGAACATTGAGGATGATCTGCTCTGGCTGTAGGGTCCACAGCCATAGGATACCTACGTTTATTGGGAACATTGAGGATGATCTGCTCTGGCTGTAGGGTCCACAGCCATAGGATACCTACGTTTATTGGGAACATTGAGGATGATCTGCTCTGGCTGTAGGGTCCACAGCCATAGGATACCTACGTTTATTGGGAACATTGAGGATGATCTGCTCTGGCTGTAGGGTCCACAGCCATAGGATACCTACGTTTATTGGGAACATTGAGGATGATCTGCTCTGGCTGTAGGGTCCACAGCCATAGGATACCTACGTTTATTGGGAACATTGAGGATGATCTGCTCTGGCTGTAGGGTCCACAGCCATAGGATACCTACGTTTATTGGGAACATTGAGGATGATCTGCTCTGGCTGTAGGGTCCACAGCCATAGGATACCTACGTTTATTGGGAACATTGAGGATGATCTGCTCTGGCTGTAGGGTCCACAGCCATAGGATACCTACGTTTATTGGGAACATTGAGGATGATCTGCTCTGGCTGTAGGGTCCACAGCCATAGGATACCTACGTTTATTGGGAACATTGAGGATGATCTGCTCTGGCTGTAGGGTCCACAGCCATAGGATACCTACGTTTATTGGGAACATTGAGGATGATCTGCTCTGGCTGTAGGGTCCACAGCCATAGGATACCTACGTTTATTGGGAACATTGAGGATGATCTGCTCTGGCTGTAGGGTCCACAGCCATAGGATACCTACGTTTATTGGGAACATTGAGGATGATCTGCTCTGGCTGTAGGGTCCACAGCCATAGGATACCTACGTTTATTGGGAACATTGAGGATGATCTGCTCTGGCTGTAGGGTCCACAGCCATAGGATACCTACGTTTATTGGGAACATTGAGGATGATCTGCTCTGGCTGTAGGGTCCACAGCCATAGGATACCTACGTTTATTGGGAACATTGAGGATGATCTGCTCTGGCTGTAGGGTCCACAGCCATAGGATACCTACGTTTATTGGGAACATTGAGGATGATCTGCTCTGGCTGTAGGGTCCACAGCCATAGGATACCTACGTTTATTGGGAACATTGAGGATGATCTGCTCTGGCTGTAGGGTCCACAGCCATAGGATACCTACGTTTATTGGGAACATTGAGGATGATCTGCTCTGGCTGTAGGGTCCACAGCCATAGGATACCTACGTTTATTGGGAACATTGAGGATGATCTGCTCTGGCTGTAGGGTCCACAGCCATAGGATACCTACGTTTATTGGGAACATTGAGGATGATCTGCTCTGGCTGTAGGGTCCACAGCCATAGGATACCTACGTTTATTGGGAACATTGAGGATGATCTGCTCTGGCTGTAGGGTCCACAGCCATAGGATACCTACGTTTATTGGGAACATTGAGGATGATCTGCTCTGGCTGTAGGGTCCACAGCCATAGGATACCTACGTTTATTGGGAACATTGAGGATGATCTGCTCTGGCTGTAGGGTCCACAGCCATAGGATACCTACGTTTATTGGGAACATTGAGGATGATCTGCTCTGGCTGTAGGGTCCACAGCCATAGGATACCTACGTTTATTGGGAACATTGAGGATGATCTGCTCTGGCTGTAGGGTCCACAGCCATAGGATACCTACGTTTATTGGGAACATTGAGGATGATCTGCTCTGGCTGTAGGGTCCACAGCCATAGGATACCTACGTTTATTGGGAACATTGAGGATGATCTGCTCTGGCTGTAGGGTCCACAGCCATAGGATACCTACGTTTATTGGGAACATTGAGGATGATCTGCTCTGGCTGTAGGGTCCACAGCCATAGGATACCTACGTTTATTGGGAACATTGAGGATGATCTGCTCTGGCTGTAGGGTCCACAGCCATAGGATACCTACGTTTATTGGGAACATTGAGGATGATCTGCTCTGGCTGTAGGGTCCACAGCCATAGGATACCTACGTTTATTGGGAACATTGAGGATGATCTGCTCTGGCTGTAGGGTCCACAGCCATAGGATACCTACGTTTATTGGGAACATTGAGGATGATCTGCTCTGGCTGTAGGGTCCACAGCCATAGGATACCTACGTTTATTGGGAACATTGAGGATGATCTGCTCTGGCTGTAGGGTCCACAGCCATAGGATACCTACGTTTATTGGGAACATTGAGGATGATCTGCTCTGGCTGTAGGGTCCACAGCCATAGGATACCTACGTTTATTGGGAACATTGAGGATGATCTGCTCTGGCTGTAGGGTCCACAGCCATAGGATACCTACGTTTATTGGGAACATTGAGGATGATCTGCTCTGGCTGTAGGGTCCACAGCCATAGGATACCTACGATTATTGGGAACATTGAGGATGATCTGTTCTGGCTGTAGGGTCCACAGCCTTAGAATACCTACGTTTATTGGGAACATTGAGGATGATCTGCTCTGGCTGTAGGGTCCACAGCCTTAGAATACCTACGTTTATTGGGAACATTGAGGATGATCTGCTCTGGCTGTAGGGTTCACAGCCTTAGAATACCTACGTTTATTGGGAACATTGAGGATGATCTGCTCTGGCTGTAGGGTTCACAGCCATAGAATACCTACGTTTATTGGAACATTGAGGATGATCTGCTCTGGTTGTAGGGTCCAGCTTTCTTGGTCTGTCTCAGTGTATAGTGGCATTGCTGAAATCACCGGCATGGTATTGCGCATGGATATGGATTCTGATATCTAAACAACATATCACTTTTATTTGTTCTGAATAACCAAAAGGTCCAGGATGATGATATCTGGCCAGTCGTATACTAGGATGAAAGGCTACCAAGTTTGTTCAAATGAATGACCTTCACTCATATTCAAGGTCACAGGAGTCAGTTGTCTAAAAACCCATTTAAACAGCTTCTGAATAACCAAAAGGTCCAATGTGATAATATTTGTCAAGAAACATGCTGGCATGAAAGGCTACCAACTGTGTTCAAATGAATGACCTTGACATAAATTAAAGGCCACAGGGGTCAAATATGTTAAAAACTTTAAGCAAATTCTTCTGAATAACCATAAGGCCTAGAATGTTGATATCTTGCCAGCAGTATGCTAGGATAATGGGCTTCCAATTTTGTTAAAATGAATGACCTTGACTTATATTCGAGATCACATTTGGTCAAATATGTATCAACCTTTAAATGACCCACCTAATCTCAATAAACAAAAGGTCTAGGGTGGTGATACTTGGCAAGTTGCCTGCCGAGATGGAGGGCTATAAAGTTTGTTCAACGTAATGACCTTGTTCGTCTTTCAATGTCACAGGGGTCAAATGTTTTTAAATCTTTAAACAGGTTCTACTGATATTTTGCCTGTAGATTTATTTAAGTTTGTTTTTAAGATTACAAGTGTGAGATTAATACCAGGTGAGCGATGCAGGCACATTGGACCTCTTGTTTATTTTCATGATGCAAAAACTAAATTAATTCTAATTAACTTCTTTTCATTCAATATATGAACACGGAATTAGATAAGTCCGAGATAGGGGCCGCTTTTCGTTTATCGCCCTCGAAACGCTTGAACCGGTTGGGAGTCGTTCAGGCGAACCTTGACAAAGCCTTGCAAGGCTTGCATCAACATTTACTGGTCATTTAGGGTTTATACCTGAAAACGTTACTTTTAAAAAACAGACAAACCGGTTGTTTCGCATAAACGAACAGGGCCATGAACTATACTCAGAGTTTACACGTAAAACTGTTGATTTATGGAACAATCTTCCGTCAAATGATGTGAATTCAAGCACAGTTAAACAATTCGAATATATATTAGATTAACACTGGCAAAACCAAGCGCAGAAATACAGTTTTAAAGAAAAAATAGTAAATCTAAATGTCGCAACTGTTTAAATATGTTTTTATTTAATTGTTTTTTTTTGTTTTTTTTTTATTTCAAAGCTGACTGTCAAAGGACTATGTAACGGGGGGGAAATGTCAGAGTTACATCCCCTTTGTAGAAATCTTCATTGCATCTCAAAACATGGCGGATGTTTTGAAACAAGTTTGGACAGCACCTGACTGTTTTGTTTATTGATGTTAAAGCATGGAGTTCGAGTGAAATACACTAAATCAACGATTGTCACAAAACATGGAGGGCGGAAATATTTTACGACAGGACATAAATTTTCAGGGATTGTTTAAGAAACTCGGTAATATCCATTGGTCAAAATTGAATTGACAAGTCACTTTTTCTGCAAATCATGAAATTGTTTCATCGTCTACGTTTAGCGTAGATCATTAAGGGGTGTTGTATTGAATATTCGGAGATACTTTTGAACCTATTAGATGTAATTTCAAAGTGAATCAGCATGATTAATGTTAAACAGTAATCATGTCATTTTATGAAGAGGTACCGTAGGGTGTATTTCCCTCCATATAAAACACTGTTCTAGTTAACATATATCTAGACTTGTAAATTAACCACTAATTGAAATGCTTTTATTGACTTTTTATCTGTGCATTCAGGTCATGATTTGGAAGAAATTCGTGTTCGAGCACTTGCTAATCTGCTCTCCAAACTAGAACACAAACTGGTGTGTGAGGCAGATCTGATTAACGAGAGACATCTCCTCATCAGACTGATTGAATGGTTCAACTTCCCCAGCAGTACCAAACACAAGGATGTCCTATTTCTTTTACAAAAACTGTCACAGGTTAGTAAGAAAGGACTCAACAATAAAACTGTAGCCAATAGCAAATTGAACACATATAGTGGTGCGCATGTGTGAAATTGAATTTAATATGTAGCTCATTTTAGTATATTAGTATATACCTTCATTTATATTTTCTGTGTATGATACATGTACTGTCACACAGAGTGTAAATGAAGCCAACTAGATTTTGAAACACATTTATTTCAAAAGAAAACTTCACAAAAACATGTATAGAGTGAAACCCGCTTATAATGATTTACGCTTTTTCCCAGAGAAAAACTTTAAAATAACCGATATAATATAATAAATGATCAAGTTGTTTTCGATCGTTTTTAGGTTGTCTTAACCAGAAGTAAGATGTTCTATGATTGTCAGACACATAGATATTTATGGAAACATCAGAAGATATTAGCACATATAGATATTGTAATAATTGAAATAAATCGTAAATTGTTATTTATGTCGTTGTGTTGGAAAAATTGAAGAAAATTGCATATTGATGTTGTAATGGTTGTATGTAAATTCTACTTTCTCTTTCAAAATGACTTTCAGCAATTCCTTCGAACTAGTGTTATACTGCGGCTGCTGTCTGTATCTTAGATAACGATACCGTAATGGGTAACAGTCAATGGGTGAAAGAAGTTATATAAATAATCATGATTTACAGATTTTACAATGAAATGTTGTGGTACCCATCAACGTAACAAAGATTTTGCAACTGAATATCAATTACGATCCTGTGACAATCATTCAATCAAATGCACCACAAGTTGTGCAGTGAGAGCAACGTGCATAGAAACAAATTAATTAGTTTATACAGAGAAAAAATCAGTACATGGACAAAATATTATGATAAGCTGGTTATCATATCTGATATCATAATAAATGGGTTCCACTGACTGTATATCTTTTCTATTTAATTATATAATGTCATATTATATAAATGTAGCGGAACTGGACTGGGTTGATCATGGCGACCAGGTAGCTTAATTTGTAGAGTGTTTGTCTGGATTTTGGAGGGTCCGAGGTCCAAATCCTGGTCTGGCTGTTGCATTTTTCTTTCTCCTGTTACATGAATAATAATAACATCTTAATATTACAATGTCTGTTAATATTTTCTAGCACACTGCTGCTGCAGAGATTCTTCAGGATATCGGTGCTATAGAGTTTCTGGGAAAGCTGAGGTCTGATGTGGCTAGCTCATTACAGCCAGTGATTGACCAGGTGCTGGAGAACACCATGAGGTTACCAGAGACAAGAACAGAAGACCATACACCTCAGTGTTTCTACCATAGACATGCAGAGGAAACAGGTACACCTGATTAACCCTTGTCTGATGTAATTTAAACTACAGACCAACTATCAGAAATATACATAGTATTGTCATGGAAAAATCATCATTGTTGGTCTAGATATTGAGCTTCATTTATATATATATGATTAGATATGTTAAAATCATTACCTATGAAACTATTTCAAAAACAATTATAATATTTTTTGCAGAATCTGTCCAACAACATGTAATGTCAGGCTGGGATTCTATGGGATCACAAACAACAAGCTCTTCTGTCCAGCCACCGCCGATCCCAGATACTCCGCATATAGTGAGTGGACGAGACATGGGCATGGGCTACTTCCAGCATCAGCAGCAACAGCAGCAGCAGCAGCAGCCTCCTGTTTCTGTCCAGCTACTGCAGCAGAACTCAGAGGTCGGCACTCAAGGTAGGAGAGCTTCAGCAGCAAATAGAACATATTAATTTCATACTTATCTCCTCTTAGTTTTGATGTGACCCGATCTTACATAGTTTGTATATTAACTTCAGTACCAATTTGTCTAATAGGGAACTCTGATCGACACAGGGGATATTAAACATCAATGTTCTTTCAGAATCATAGTGTGTATAACAAGTGTAGATGTGACTTTTTTTTTTATCTTTTTAATGTCATATCTGTTGATAAAGTGTTTGAATAATTGTATTGATTTTTGTTTGTGTTGGTAGAAGGAACCGAGAGTTTCCAGCTCTCAGCGTTCCCCTGGCTGGCCCTCACACCAACAGATAGACATGTCATACAGTCGACAAACTCGTGAGTTTTATAGCAAACCGCAAGAAATATGTGAACGTTTCCCAAATCCTGATCCACAAAGCCAATTTATCATCCATTAAACCAAAAGGGTTGTTTTTATGAATAATTTCAAAATTTGACTTCTGGTTGTTCATAAATCACTGAAGGATATGCTAGGGGGTCCAGCGGTATGTCCACAGAATAAAATCAAATCTTAAGGTGATGTAATGGAATATGAAATATTTTAGAATAACAGCTAAATGTTAAATATGTAGTTGTTTGTTCTTATAAAGATAACTTGGGCCAAGCAACATTTCTGGTTTTGTTTTCTGCAATGCAAGAAATTGCTCAATATCTCAATTCTGATTTTTAAAACATCAAGCATATAATAGCAAAAATTCCAGGAACCAAACAGGCCATCCAGGACAAGATTTTAGGGACATTTGGCGACAGTTTGGTTCCAGGTCTTGTATAAGTGTCTAAGCCTGGCAGGGCTATGAAGGTTTTTTTAACCAGGTTTAACTGCTAACAGTCACTGTATGTGGCCATGCTGGACTTAGTGTAATCTTGGTGCTATAACTCTTTTCACCTCCAGATCTCTACAGAGTCGAGAGCCCCATCTCTTGGCAAGCTCCTGTGAATTCCTCAGTGATGTTGTGTTCCAGGACTTCCCTGCGGAAATATTTCTCCAGAGGCCAAATATTGTGAAAGTGAGTATGATCAAATATTGCATGATTTGACTGTTTCTAAATTTAGATTTGACTGTTCCTAATTCCTAAATTGAGTTGAGGTTCATATTTGGACCTAAAAAAAATAAGTTCACATTTTCCCATTCTGTGCACTTCCCACAAGCACAATATGATACACTTTAAGGAGACAATTTTCCTGAAATATTTATTGTTCCTTTGGTCTTACAAAATGCAGGATTTTTTTAATCAGTTTATGTCAAAAACATCAGTTATAACTTTAATGTTTTAAATCTTTTGCAGAACTTATTATCGATTCTTGGAAGTCCATCAAATTCAAACACGAACCTGACAATTAGTGCAGCACGCACTCTGGGTGACTTGGCATTTTCTTTGAAAGCAAGAATGCGATATTACCAAGATCCTACATTGTGCACACCAAAACAAGGTATTGCTGTTATTTTTTCTCAAATTTATCATCTTATTTAATTATATGTAATCAAATAAATTCTTTGAAAATATTTTATTCTCAGTAACTAACTCCTCTAAAGCAAAAATAAAGGTTATTAAAATGACTAACTCAAATGTCATATTTTGAAAATGTTAATAGAAATGAACATCAAAATCAAATTAAAACCTGAACAAAGTTATGGCCTATATCTGTTCCTGACTTACTGATAATGGTGTGTTGTTTTTCAGGCCTATATCTGTTCCTGACTTACTGATGATGGGGTGTTGTTTTTCAGGCCTATATCTGTTCCTGACCTACTGATAATGGTGTGTTGTTGTTCAGGCCTATATCTGTTCCTGACTTACTGATGATGGGGTGTTGTTTTTCAGGCCTATATCTGTTCCTGACTTACTGATAATGTTGTGTTGTTTTTCAGGCCTATAACTATTCCTGACTTACTGATAATGGTGTGTTGTTTTTCAGGCCTATACCTATGCCTGACTTACTGATAATGGTGTGTTGTTTACAGGCCTATATCTGTACCTGACTTACTGATAATGGTGTGTTGTTTTTCAGCCCTATATCTGTTCCTGACTTACTGATAATGGTGTGTTGTTTTCAGGCCTATAGCTATTCCTGACTTACTGATAATGGTGTGCTGTTTTTCAGGCCTATATCTGTTCCTGACTTACTGATAATGGTGTGTTGTTTTTAAGGCCTATATCTGTTCCTGACTTACTGATAATGTTGTGTTGTTTTTCAGGCCTATAACTATTCCTGCCTTACTGATAATGGTGTGTTGTTTTTCAGGCCTATATCTGTTCCTGACTTACTGATAATGTTGTGTTGTTTTTCAGGCCTATAACTATTCCTGACTTACTGATAATGGTGTGTTGTTTTTCAGGCCTATATCTGTTGCTGACTTACTGATAATGGTGTGTTGTTTTTCAGTCCTATATCTGTTCCTGACTTACTGATAATGGTTTGTTGTTTTTCAGGCCTATATCTGTTCCTGACTTCCTGATAATGGTGTGTTGTTTACAGGCCTATATATGTACCTGACCTACTGATAATGTTGTGTTGTTTTTCAGGCCTATAACTATTCCTGCCTTACTGATAATGGTGTGTTGTTTTTCAAGCCTATAGCTATTCCTGACTTACTGATAATGGTGTGCTGTTTTTCAGGCCTATATCTGTTCCTGACTTACTGATAATGGTGTGTTGTTTACAGGCCTATATATGTACCTGACCTACTGATAATGGTGTGTTGTTTTTCAGGCCTATACCTATGCCTGACCTACTGATAATGGTGTGTTGTTTACAGGCCTATACCTATGCCTGATTTACTGATAACAGTGTGTTGTTTACAGGCCTATATCTGTACCTGACCTACTGATAATGGTGTGTTGTTTTTCAGGCCTATACCTATGCCTGACTTACTGATAACGGTGTGTTGTTTTTCAGAGTTTACATCCTCCTCCTCCTCTCCGTTTTCTGCTTCACCAAGTACAGAATCGAACACTTCCACTCCTTCTGATCATGAACCTCGTCCATCAGCGATTGGTGTGACTGACACCCGTCACCGTGGTGATGGCAGAGATGGAGATACATCTACCTCCTCCAGCAGGTGAGATTTAGGATTTATATCTTGCAAAGCTTGTTTTTTTTTTATTTTACAAAGATTACAAAACTTAAAATTTGCTTGTCAGAGGTTTTTGAAAATTTTAGTTTTCGATATAGTGGTGGTTTATACTACCAGGTAATTCTTAGAAATTACAAATCTTTTCATGCATCTAGTTTCCTAATAAATGTATTGACTGTAAAAGTAATGAAAATTAGAGCCTGACAAAATGATAGAAGTTTAAGCCTTGTTATATGTACTGTGAACCTGTCCTTATGGTGTAGCTGTAGTGTGGTAATCTGTGTAGCTGTAGTGTGGTAATCTGTGTAGCTGTAGTGTGGCCATCACATGAAAATCTTACATTTACATTATTTCATACTATTAAATGTAACTCTTTGTTCAGTTTTATTTTTGTTTGTTTAAAACTTGGTAATAATTGATTTGCTACTTGTACCCTGACAGCTCACGAGCGTCCAGTATTGGCCTTGGTCCCGACATGACAACGACCCGTGAGGAGACGGACATTGAGGACGCTCCTGCTTTACAGTTTGTGCAGCTCACCCTACCACAGTTCTGTGCCGTGGTGTTGGAGAAGGCTCTACCATTGTTACAGACAGGCGAGGAGAATGTGGTCATTCACCTGTTGTACCTGCTGAGAGAGACATTTGGTATCTTGGTGTCTGTTGTCAGTCCCAGTGTCTGGACCGACACCAGTCCAGCTGCTAGAGAAATTGTAAGTCATTCTTGATGTTGGGAATTACAAGTTCATGTTTTAACTATTTTAAGCCTTTGAAATCCTTATAAGAACATACATGTGAAAGTGACTTAAATCCTGACTGGAAGTTTGGTGCACATAAATGTATTTGACTTGTGTTGAACCAACAGGTAGAGAAGTTGACAGGGTGCCTGAGTGTCATAGCAGAGCTGATGAATTACCATCACTATGGCAACAGTGACCATGACAACAACAAATCGGGATTGATTCCTCACCGATTGGCGTACATTGGTGTCTGCGGCTTTTTAAATCAGCTTCTCAAAAATCTTGTCCCCTTCCAAAAGGTACTTTTATCTTTATATGTCTATACAACTACTATTGATATATCAAAATTTAAATCAATATTTAAACCTATTTGTGTAGGAGCTCTGTAACTGGTATATTCCATAAAACTACTCTACAGATCAGTGTTTTTCATTTCATTAACTGCTAAGTTTTAACATAAAATAATGATGATCGAGTATCGAATGGGAAAAAGGAGTTTTACAATAATATGTTGTTCGCAGGCCCGAAGTTTACTACCGGAGAACCTGGTGAAGGCGGTGACAGTGGTAGTGTATGATGAGAGTCTGTCCCACAGTTACCCTGAGATACAGATCACACTGCTGACCGTGCTACAGCTGCTGGACAAGGACCGTTACCAGGTGTACGTGGACACTGCCAAGGTCGCCCAGTCCATGCACAAGTCCTGTAAATTCCTGATGCTGTGTCAACAGGAGGTATATACACATTGAACAGGTCTAAAGACAGAAAATATCTTACAATTTAATGTATTTTTTCATCCTTAGTAATGATAAAGTGTTCATAATATCCCCGTTTTATTAGCATAACTTTGTTATCATTCTACATCAATTTTTGTATGCCCCTCGCAATAAAATGGGGGGGAGGGGGGCATATGGTGATGCCCATGTCCGTCCCTTCCCTTCCCGTCCCATGATGAAAGTGGTTGTAACTATTGAACATCAAACATTGAAACTAATTTCACATGGTGACAGGGACATTCATGTCTTACATTCTTTTTCTAGTTTTACATGTTTTAAGGTCCTATTTATAACATACTTGAGCATATTAATCGATTTAATCACAATTATGTACCTTCGTATATTTTGATGTGTATGTGTACATCATGTGTTATATATACCTACAGGCCTACAAGGGGAGCGTAGAGCTGGCCACGTTGGCTGAAGCGTCGTTACTGAGTCTCCAGTATCACCTACACCTGCCTCTCGTCTCCGAGTTTGTCAAACTCACTTCATCTGTGTAAGTGTATTATAAATAACAGCAACTAATATGTCAGGAGTTCTGTATCTCAAACTCCATGGTTTAAAATTTCAGTACATGAACTAGCAAAGTCAGATATATATTCATTCCAGTTCATACCTCATACGATACCATCTAAACCTGCTAGCTTTTGTATGTGAGGATGGCGGATGGTTGCATACTAAAACCTGGTCTCTTGCCATACTATTAACAGACTTACGGCCCATTGCTCACCATGGATAACAATCGCCTCATTTTGTATGTTGATACACCATGGGATGACAGTGTTGTGTGCCCCACTTAATACAGCATCATGAACTTTAAGTCATGTTTGATCCCGAAGTTTGTTCAGAGGTTGGGAGCTATAGAATGCTTTCATTCATTTAGAAAATGAAATCCACATGAAAAGGCCATTCAAAGCACAACTGGATAAAAAAATGTATATACAAGAAAATGAAGTGTTTTAAAGTATTGAAGTGAAACATCTGATTATACATCAAGGTCATGCTATTACCAGTATAGGTCATGCATGTGTAAGGATATGTCATGGAAACTGTTCAGTGTGTATGGGTATTGAGAGAAGTTAAACATTTTGTCACCCTATAGATATAGTAGATACATGATATTATCATTTTACAGATGTGCAAGGCACTCAGGCGACCAGGACCTTCAAGGACACTGTAGACAGGTGTTACTGAAATACCTGTCTTATCCACTGGTACAGGTGCGACAACAGGCCTACAACACAGTATTACAGATTGTAAAGGTAACTATTGACTCCCAAACCTCCCAGTACAGGTGTGACACCAGGCCTACAACACAATATTACAGATTGTAAAGGTTACTTTTGACTCCCAAACCTCCCAGTACAGGTGTGACACCAGGCCTACAACTCAGTGTTACAGATTATTTAGGTAAGTATTGACTCCCACCTCCCAGTACAGGTGTGACAACAGGCCTACAACACAGTATTACAGATTGTAAAGGTAACTATTGACTCCCCCACTCAGTACATGTGTGACAACAGGCCTACAACTCAGTGTTACAGATTGTAAAGGTAAGTATTGACTCCCCCACTCAGTACATGTGTGACAACTGGTCTACAACACTGTTACACAACAATAGAATGGTCTGCCTCATTCTAGACACTATTGATACCTAAGATTTTTGTTTTGAAAGCATTTCAGCATTTACATTATCTATTAAAATAGGATAGAGCAATATGATTTTGTGTGGGATGTGTTGAGGTAGGTATCCAAGACTGTATAAATTTTAACCAAGATTTAAAAACATTTATTTTGTGTCTCAGCCTACCTGGTATTAAATAATTTCATGTTTAATTCTTTATATATTCAGGGATCTGTTAGTGTGAGTGAAGCGTCGGACCCGAGTTCTGAGGCGTGTCTGCTGGGCCGTTTCCTGTTTGATACGGACGTCCTGTATCAGATCATGGTGTTTGGCCTGGACGACAAGGATATCAAGGTAAGTACAAATATCATCTTATTATGGGTGAGATGGAAGTCTTTGGAAAAGGAATTTAGTATGTTTATCAAAATGTTCATTTATCTTGAAGTTGTTTATTTAGCCAGGTAGTCCAGTAGTTAAGGTACTCTCCTTTCACCAAGACTGTTCTGGTTTGATATCCCCACCAGACAGTTTTCTTTCGGTACTTGTTTTTTCTTCTGATACAAATACCATGGCAACAAGAATGTTTGATAAAGATATAAGCCTATAATTTGTTTTTGGTTTTTTCAAAGAATAAAATTAAATTTTAATTCAATTTGTGAGAAAATTAATACAAAATATTGCTATGGTTTAGTTTGTAAGTGATCATTTAGAAAGACACCCTGGTCCCCCTACCGACCCCCACACACCACTCCACCGGTCCCCCTACTGACCCCAACACACCACTCGTCTGGTCCCCCTACCAACCCCCACACACTACTCCACAGGTCCCCCTACCGACCCCCACACACCACTCCCCTGGCCCCCCTACCAACCCCCACACACCACCCCCCTGGTCCCCCTACCCACCCACACACACCACTCCACTGGCCCCTCTACCAACCCCCACACACCACTCCCCTGGCCCCCCTACCAACCCCCACACACCACCCCACTGGTCCCTCTACCAACCCCAACACCACTCCACTGGTCCCTCTACCGACCCACACTCACCACCCCACTGGTCCCCCTACCAACCCCCAAACTGGTCTCCCTACCAACCCCCACACACTACTCCACTGGTCCCCTTACCAACCCCCAAACTGGTCTCCCTACCAACCCCCACACACAATTCCACTGGTCCCCCTACCAACCCCTAAACTGGTCCACCTACCAACCCCCCCACACCCCTCCACAGGCCCCCCTCCCCGCCCCCACACACCACTCCACTCGTCCCCCTACCGACCCACACTCACCACCCCACTGGTCCCCCTACCAACCCCCACACACTACTCCACTGGTCCCCTTACCAACCCCCAAACTGGTCTCCCTACCAACCCCCACACACTACTCTACTGGTCCCCCTCCCGACCCCCACACACCACTCCCCTGGCCCCCCTACCAACCCCCACACACTACTCCACTGGTCCCCTTACCAACCCCCAAACTGGTCTCCCTACCAACCCCCACACACAATTCCACTGGTCCCCCTACCAACCCCCAAACTGGTCTCCCTACCAACCCCCACACACTACTCTACTGGTCCCCCTACCAACCCCTAAACTGGTCCACCTACCAACCCCCCCACACCCCTCCACTGGTCCCCCTACCAACCCCCACACACCACTCCCCTGGCCCCCCTACCAACCCCCACACACTACTCTACTGGTCCCCCTACCAACCCCCACATACCACTCCACTGGTCCCCCTACCCCCCCCCACACACCACTCCACCGGTCCCCCTACTGACCCCAACACACCACTCGTCTGGTCCCCCTACCAACCCCCACACACAATTCCACTGGTCCCCCTACCAACCCCTAAACTGGTCCACCTACCAACCCCCCCACACCCCTCCACAGGCCCCCCTCCCCGCCCCCACACACCACTCCACTGCTCCCTCTACCAACCCCCACACACCACTCGACAGGTCCCTCTACCAACCCCCACACACCACCCCCCTGGTCCCCCTACCCACCCACACACACCACTCCACTGGTCCACCTACCGACCCACACTCACCACCCCACTGGTCCCCCTACCAACCCCTAAACTGGTCCACCTACCAACCCCCCCACACCCCTCCACAGGCCCCCCTCCCCGCCCCCACACACCACTCCACTGCTCCCTCTACCAACCCCCACACACCACTCCCCTGGCCCCCCTACCAACCCCCACATACCACTCCACTGGTCCCTCTACCGACCCACACTCACCACCCCACTGGTCCCCCTACCAACCCCCAAACTGGTCTCCCTACCAACCCCCACACACCACTCCCCTGGCCCCCCTACCAACCCCCACACACTACTCTACTGGTCCCCCTACCGACCCCCACACACCACCCCACCGGTCCCCCTTCCGACCCCCACACACCACTCCCCTGGTCCCTCTACCAACCCCCACACACCACTCGACAGGTCCCTCTACCAACCCCCACACACCACCCCACCGGTCCCCCTTCCGCCCCCCACCCACTCCTCCACAGGTCCCCCTACCGACCCCCACACACCACTCCACTGGTCCCCCTACCGACCCACACACACCACTCCACTGGTCCCCCTACCGACCCCGACACACCACTCCAGTGGTCCCCCTACCGACCCCCACACACCTATCCACTGGTCCCCAGAAACCACTCCACCGGTCCCCCTACTGACCCCAACACACCACTCGTCTGGTCCCCCTACCAACCCCCACACACCACTCCACTGGTCCCCCTACCAACCCCCACACACCCCTCCACTGGTCCCCCCACCCCCCCCCCCCCACTCCCCTGGTCCCCTTACCAACCCCCAAACTGGTCTCCCTACCAACCCCCACACACAATTCCACTGGTCCCCCTACCAACCCCTAAACTGGTCCACCTACCAACCCCCACACACCACTCCACTGGTCCCCTTACCAACCCCCAAACTGGTCCCCCTATCGAGCAACACACACCACTCCACCGGTCCCCCTACCAACCCCCACACACTCCTCCACTGGTCCCCTTACCAACCCCCAAACTGGTCCCCCTATCGAGCAACACACACCACTCCACCGGTCCCCCTACCGACCCCCACACACCGCTCCACTGGTCCCCCTACCAGCCCCCACACACTACTCCGCTGGTCCCCTTACCAACCCCCAAACTGGTCTCCCTACCAACCCCCACACACCACGCCACTGGTCCCCCTACCAACCCCTAAACTGGTCCACCTACCAACCCGCACACACCACTCCACTGGTCCCCTTACCAACCCCCAAAATGGTCTCCCTACCAACCCCCACACACCACGCCACTGGTCCCCCTACCAACCCCTAAACTGGTCCACCTACCAACCCCCACACACCCCTCCACTGGTCCCCTTACCAACCCCCAAAATGGTCTCCCTACCAACCCCCACACACCACGCCACTGGTCCCCCTACCAACCCCTAAACTGGTCCACCTACCAACCCCCACACACCACTCTCCTGGTCCCTCTACCAACCCCCACACACCATTCTCCTGGTCCCTCTACCAACCCCCACAACCCCCACACACAATTCCACTGGGCCCCCTACCAACCCCTAAACTGGGCCCCCTACCAACCCCCAAACTGGTCCCCCTATCGAGCCACCCCCCCCCCTCCCCCGGTCCCCCTTCCGGCCCCCACACACTACTCCACAGGTCCCCCTACCGCCCCCCACACACCACTCCACTGGTCCACCTACCGACCCACACTCACCACTCCACTGGTCCCCCTACCGACCCACACTCACCACTCCACTGGTCCCCCTACCGACCCACACTCACCACTCCACTGGTCCCCCTACCGACCCACACTCACCACTCCACTGGTCCCCCTACCACCCCCCACACACCACTCCACTGGTCCACCTACCGACCCACACTCACCACTCCACTGGTCCCCCTACCAACCCCCACACACCACTCCACCGGTCCCCCTACCGACCCACACAGACCACTACACCGGTCCCCCTAATGACCCACACACACCACTCCACTGGTCCCCCTACCGACCCCCACACACCACTCCAGTGGTCCCCCTACCGACCCCCACACACCTATCCACCGGTCCCCCTACCAACCCCCACACGCCACTCCACCGGTTCCCCTTCCGACCCCAACTCACCACTCCACTGGTCCCCCTACTAACCAACACACACCACTCCACCGGTCCCCCTTCCGACCCCCACACACCACTCCACTGGTCCCCCTACCAACCCCCACACACTACTCCACTGGTCCCCAGAAACCACTCCACCGGTCCCCCTACCGACTCCAACACACCACTCCACTGGTCCCCCTACCAACCCCCACACACCACTCCACTGGTCCCCCTACCAACCCCCACACACTACTCCACTGGTCCCCAGAAACCACTCCACCGGTCCCCCTACCGACTCCAACACGCCACTCCACTGGTCCCCCTACCAACCCCCACACACTACTCCACTGGTCCCCAGAAACCACTCCACCGGTCCCCCTACCGACTCCAACACGCCACTCCACTGGTCCCCCTACCAACCCCCACACACCATTCTACTGGTCCCTCTACCAACCCCCCACACACCACTCTACTGGTCCCTCTACCACCCCCCACACACCACTCTACTGGTCCTTCTACCAACCCCCACACACCCCTCCACTTGTCCCTCTACCAACCCTCACACACCACTCTACTGGTCCCTCTACCAACCCCCACACACCACTCTACTGGTCCCTCTACCAACCCCCACATACCACTCCACTGGTCCCTCTACCAACCCCCACACACCATTCTACTGGTCCCTCTACCAACCCCCCACATACCACTCCACTGGTCCCTCTACCAACCCCCACACACCATTCTACTGGTCCCTCTACCAACCCCCCACACACCACTCTACTGGTCCCTCTACCAACCCCCACATACCACTCCACTGGTCCCCCTACCAACCCCCACACACTACTCCACTGGTCCCCAGAAACCACTCCACCGGTCCCCCTACCGACTCCAACACACCACTCCACTGGTCCCCCTACCAACCCCCACACACTACTCCACTGGTCCCCAGAAACCACTCCACCGGTCCCCCTACCGACTCCAACACGCCACTCCACTGGTCCCCCTACCAACCCCCACACACTACTCCACTGGTCCCCAGAAACCACTCCACCGGTCCCCCTACCGACTCCAACACGCCACTCCACTGGTCCCCCTACCAACCCCCACACACTACTCCACTGGTCCCCAGAAACCACTCCACCGGTCCCCCTACCGACTCCAACACGCCACTCCACTGGTCCCCCTACCAACCCCCACACACCATTCTACTGGTCCCTCTACCAACCCCCCACATACCACTCCCCTGGTCCCCCTACCGACCCCCACACACCACTCCACTGGTCCCCCTACCAACCCCCACACACCATTCTACTGGTCCCTCTACCAACCCCCCACATACCACTCCACTGGTCCCTCTACCGACCCCCACACACCACTCTACTGGTCCCTCTACCAACCCCCACACACCACTCTACTGGTCCTTCTACCAACCCCCACACACCACTCCACTTGTCCCTCTACCAACCCTCACACACCACTCTACTGGTCCCTCTACCAACCCCCACATACCACTCTACTGGTCCCCCAACCAACCTCTCACACACTACTCTTCACCCACAAATAGGTTTACTGTATACTGTGAAACCTTACCCTGTTGAACTTTGGTCTTTCACAGATCAAATCCAAATTTCGTCTTTTACTCGTAATTACTAAATTATGTAGTATGTTGTGTACTAATATTTGCTGTCAGTTTAAATTTGCCTTCATTACAGAGGTTGAAAAAGTTGAAATTTAAATTGTTGCATGGATTTCCCAGTACATCGTATATCTGCCCCAAGAAAGGTTAACCTTGATACCTTGTTGTTGTCTTAGGTTGCAAAGACAGCAGCTGACCTGTTGTGCCACCTGCTGGACAGTCCGCTTATGATGACCTCACAGATGTGGCAAGAGTTCATGGACAGCCTGCTCCGGCCACTTCCTGTCCTCCAGGTACGTATAAGTCTCTGTAAAAAGATTGAATAAACAGGAATGATGTAATGATCATTGATTTACCTCTGCAACAAAATTAAAGTAGTGAGGTTACCGGAATCAGATTGTCTGTCTATTTGTCTGTTAATTGACAATATCTTGTCTGGACAACTATTTCTACAGTTTACAAACCAATTTCATTAAACTTCGATGATGTAAACACCACAGTGGGATTTGGTATTCGGTATTAATGCCCATTTTCAAAGGTATTAGCCAAATCTTCTGTGGACAATTTTTTACTTGGTTTTTATTGAAATTTTGTGAAACTCTACATAAATAATCAACATCCTAAAGTTGTGTAAATGCACTGACTTATTTTACAATCCAGCTTTTACGGAGGTTATGACCCTATTTGTAAAATCCTTATCCATATCTTGCTCATTCTGATTTACATAAATATTGTTTCCAGGTTAATGCTCATACATCCTGTAAACAGACTTTCCTAAACTTACTACTCCACGCCATCTCTTTTATATTAGTGTTATTGCAATGTACTTTATTCTGGGAAGTTTTATGACAGAGAGGGGGTGTTAGTTTGCCTGTGACTTACAGTTCTAAGGTGAAACAATTTTAATGCTTTTAAGTTTTATTATTTGTTTCTTTTATTTCCCTTTTAATACAATTAAATAATCTCTCTACATGCACACTAAATCATCTCTGTAAATACATTCCAACATTTGAGTTTCTGTTTCAGTCCTACAGTGACCTTGAGACGAGGCTTGGGAAATGTGTGCTGGCGATGTCTGACCCACAGATGTCAAAGGGTCCGAGTTCCCTCTCCTCTCTGGAGAAACTCAGGGCCACACTCAGACACATGTTCTCCTCCGACGTCAGGTGGGTAGAGAGTCTGGTAGTTAAATATACCTGGAGAGACTGACTGTATGTACAGCTGATACTCAGTTAAACACATAAGGATCACATTTCTTGAAAACAAATTATCATGTGGGAAAAAAACATTTTTCTGTGGAACTAATGTTCAGGCTGATAAGTTTCATAAGACAAACTTTCATGATGTTCTTTCAACAATTGTTTTTTATGTTCAGGCATATTCATAATGGACACAAAGGAATTTAGCTATTAACATCTTTCTGGATATGACAGGGTGTTATATATTGTATTTTATATAAAACATAGCTTAAAACTCCTAGCAGGACTTCCCCCATAAAGTTGTTTTGCTGTATATGTAAATAGTTTACAAAAATGATGAAAGATTTTATCCTTTTTTCAAAGGACCCGTGCAGAGGCCCTGAAGCGTGTTGCCTGGTTTCTGTCAAATGAGAAGGGCAGTACAACAAAACTTCCAGTGTTCTCTGATCTTGACGTGACAAACTTAACCAACATTTTTGTGATGGAGACACCACGTTCCATAGATGATGATCTCGGCAGATCTGTATTCCAGGTATTTTGATAACTTCCAGTTGTTGAATGTAACAAACAAATAGCTAAGAACTTTAGACTGGAAAAATATATATTTCTTTAAGAAAAATATTTAGTCATCAAAGGAAGAATTTATGCTGGAAATTCAAATCATTATTGTAAAAAAAACAATTCAGAATCCCTGATTTCTTACTGCCCCACAGATTGATGGTCTGAGGAAGGTGAACGACATATTTAAGTCGATGTCAGTAGATCCTGGAGTAAAGAAGTCGGCAGCAGATCAACTGGCCATCATACTTCAGGGTGGGTGAAGTGTTACTGATAACTTAAGGAGGCTGTCTCCATGTGATTCCACGATAAAAACATGTTTTAAATATATTCCGTGACTTCAGTGGAATCCACTTACATGATGTTGGATATTATGATACTTTTTCCATGTACTGGATTTTTCTCTATACATGTAGTAAAATCATTAATGGATATAACCGTTATCCCAATTCATGTTTTCATCAAATTTTATCTTTTAGTAACCCTTGTACATAAATAGTATATTTCTTTCACTTAGGATATTGGTTTTAGTATTGAACTATTTTATCATACACATATTCTCCTACAGATCACAATTTGCACTCAGCATTCAAAAGAGACAGAGGATTGGAAAGTGTACTGGAGCACCTAAAGTTAGCCATATTACGGGACCAGGGACCTAGTAAGGTATGTACTGTATATACAAGTCACCTAAAGCTAGCCATATTACGGGACCAGGGACCTAGTACAGTATGTACTGTATATACAGGTCACCTAAAGCTAGCCATATTACGGGACCAGGGACCTAGTAAGGTATGTACTGTATATACAGGTCACCTAAAGCTAGCCATATTACGGGACCAGGGACCTAGTAAGGTATGTACTGTATATACAGGTCACCTAAAGCTAGCCATATTACGGGACCAGGGACCTAGTAAGGTATGTACTGTATATACAGGTCACCTAAAGCTAGCCATATTACGGGACCAGGGACCTAGTAAGGTATGTACTGTATATACAGGTCACCTAAAGCTAGCCATATTACGGGACCAGGGACCTAGTAAGGTATGTACTGTATATACAGGTCACCTAAAGCTAGCCATATTACGGGACCAGGGACCTAGTAAGGTATGTACTGTATATACAGGTCACCTAAAGCTAGCCATATTACGGGACCAGGGACCTAGTAAGGTATGTACTGTATATACAGGTCACCTAAAGCTAGCCATATTACGGGACCAGGGACCTAGTAAGGTATGTACTGTATATACAGGTCACCTAAAGCTAGCCATATTACGGGACCAGGGACCTAGTAAGGTATGTACTGTATATACAGGTCACCTAAAGCTAGCCATATTACGGGACCAGGGACCTAGTAAGGTATGTACTGTATATACAGGTCACCTAAAGCTAGCCATATTACGGGACCAGGGACCTAGTAAGGTATGTACTGTATATACAGGTCACCTAAAGCTAGCCATATTACGGGACCAGGGACCTAGTAAGGTATGTACTGTATATACAGGTCACCTAAAGCTAGCCATATTACGGGACCAGGGACCTAGTAAGGTATGTACTGTATATACAGGTCACCTAAAGCTAGCCATATTACGGGACCAGGGACCTAGTAAGGTATGTACTGTATATACAGGTCACCTAAAGCTAGCCATATTACGGGACCAGGGACCTAGTAAGGTATGTACTGTATATACAGGTCACCTAAAGCTAGCCATATTACGGGACCAGGGACCTAGTAAGGTATGTACTGTATATACAGGTCACCTAAAGCTAGCCATATTACGGGACCAGGGACCTAGTAAGGTATGTACTGTATATACAGGTCACCTAAAGCTAGCCATATTACGGGACCAGGGACCTAGTAAGGTATGTACTGTATATACAGGTCACCTAAAGCTAGCCATATTACGGGACCAGGGACCTAGTAAGGTATGTACTGTATATACAGGTCACCTAAAGCTAGCCATATTACGGGACCAGGGACCTAGTAAGGTATGTACTGTATATACAGGTCACCTAAAGCTAGCCATATTACGGGACCAGGGACCTAGTAAGGTATGTACTGTATATACAGGTCACCTAAAGCTAGCCATATTACGGGACCAGGGACCTAGTAAGGTATGTACTGTATATACAGGTCACCTAAAGCTAGCCATATTACGGGACCAGGGACCTAGTAAGGTATGTACTGTATATACAGGTCACCTAAAGCTAGCCATATTACGGGACCAGGGACCTAGTACGGTATGAACTGTGTATACTCTGCTGATGTTCCGATTAATCGAGTTTATCAAGTATCACTTGTTTGAGACATTTGACCAATTAATCGAGTAAAATATCTGTGATTGAGTTTTCTTCACAAATACAACACAGTATCAAGTAATGATGAGTCTGCCTCGTACGTCTGCTATTACGATCTTTCAGCAGATGTACCTGATTATTATTTTATATTTAATGTCCACAGATTGACTCCCTGCCGTACCTGAATGCCTGTGTGACTATACTTAGGTACCTTGTCCACCACGACTATACACTCAGACACCGACTAGCTTCAGATGAGGAAATATACACCTGCTTGATAAGAGGTATGGTTCTATATACTCCTCTGAATCACAATATTTGAAATTTCTCTTTTGGATCATAGATTAAAGTGGTCCAGGGAAAGTAAAAAGCTACATTTGTCATTGCAGACACAAGTAGCTAGTCTGCTTCTGTAAAAGTGGAAATTTTCAGAATATGGAAATAGTTGCATTTTCCATGATGATTAAACAAGCATGAAAATATCCACATGCCTATTTATATTTGTAGTTTATATGGATTATAGAATGTATAGTTTTCAGAACCATAAACAAAGTGAACATTTCCACACTGATCAATTTTAAGAGTCACAACGCGAACATTTCCACTATTACAGTAATTACATCTCAACTTTGCCATGTGATAGGCAACAGGTAGAAGCATTAGTTGTAACGTGTTTAAGCAGTATCATGTATAGGGGACAACATATGCGAGAAGGCTGTATGTGATTGTTACTGTTCCAGCGGCCTTTATACACCAGAGAGATGAGAGGACATGTTACGAGGCAGCTCACACTCTCACTCTCCTCCTGTTTGATGAGGTGGCCAAGTTTGACATGGGGTAAGTCCTTACATGGTCATATGACAAACTGTAAACGGAGGAATTTTGCATCAATTTTATTTTTACCCTTTCTTCCATGAATTCAAAAAGAGGCAAGCATTTTATTTCTCTAGCTAGCAAAGTCTGTAAGTGTTTGTTGGCAAAATCATCACTTGGCGATCGCGATTTTGTTGTAAAAATAATTCAAATATGTACCAGTAAATCATATGTCAAATATATTGGAAATTTTCTATCTATCCTGATAAATCTATGTGAAGACGAAAAATGTACTAGCAACAAGAAGTGATTCGAGAAAAAAAATCACTGTTACAGAAGATTTTTTTCCCTTTTAATAGTGAATTTATACGGCAAGTTAATTTTACAGAAAAATGTTAATTCCCAGCGGTCAAAAACAGAAATAAAATAGTCACATGCCTTTTGCTTGAAATATTGATCAATTTGCGATGATGTCTAGAGCAGTAGACTGTGTTTGAACCCCATTGTCTCTTGTTGTTCGTCAAGGTGGCCATTGGTTAAACCTTTTGCCGTATAAGTGTTGTATATGAGTTAACTCAAGAGAAAGTACCGAATGCTTACATCATCAACAGTTAGTTAGATAATACTCATTTAATACATTGTTATATTTCAGAGGAGGACAAAATCCTGTTGTGACATTTTCAATACCAGAAGTTTTGAAGAAAAGGTAAATGACATTTTCTGAAATAGTCACTTTTAAATTGAAGAGTTGCGTATAGGCTAAAGCAAATATTTTAGATTGCTTTACATACACAATTAATAATATGAACATTAAAGTTGATAGTCTAAAATGTCGGCCATTAGAATTCAAGGGAATTCTTTTCCCCATTCAGATAATAATTATTCTTCGCTTTTATTAAGATCACACTATTATTGGATAATTTGGTATAAGATTGGCTTTTTGATAATGGTGCAATTTATAAGACACATGCAGGTGATATTGCATTATGTTTCTAGTTTCTATTATGTAAAGATTAAATGGTGAGTAGCCCCAAAGAAGATGTGTATAAATGCTAAATTTGCTACAATTGTTTCCATGTCATACAGATACCGTCTGCCCTTCCGGCCCGTCTGTCACCATAAAACAAGCCCCCACCAAGGCCCCTCAGCCCCTGAGCCAGATCCCCTGGAGAACGGACCTCCTGATGAGATGTTGAAGGTTGTGTGGAATGTAGCCTGGCACGGAGGGATGGACAAACTTCTGTCCCACCTCAAACTGCTCAAGGCTAAACAGGACAAGTTTACAGAGTAAGTAAAGTTACAGTAATTAATCAGTGCTGTCAATGTATTATTTTCATGTTTACATAAATAAAAGAAAGTAAACATCTGAAGAGTGCTTTGTAGGGGTTGATTGAGATGTTATTTACACTGAAGTAGTCTTTAACGGGTCTTTTTATGATAAATTCATGTAAATTGATTGTCCAGATATATTTGCTCTGTTACAGATTTTCGGTTAAGTTACACCTGAGCTGTTCTGACCGAGTGATTATCCAGGCCACACACCTACGCCAGGGCATGCAGGAGGCTGTGTTTGATATCAGCAATGCCACTTCCCACAAAGGGGTCAGTGCAGCACTCAACCGGCTCCTTACCTACCTCGTCACGGCTCAAGGTCACCCAGGGGTCGAAGATGTATTTAATCTGGATTGGTTCACCACCATTGGCAGGTAAGAGACTATAGATCTGCAAGGTTCCAACCCGACATGTATACAAGCTGTTGTTTTATTGAACGGTTTCACATCCGCTTCACTTACGAGTAGTTTGGTTGTCTTGCAAACAAATTACAGACTCTTGTAATTGATCATATTCAAACCCCCTGACCCCTGACCTCAAATGAGTGGTATTTTTTAATACTCGCACCAAGGTCAAGGTCATTATTACTATTAATAGAGCTTTTTTGTCATTGCTTCAAGTGTAATATACAGAGTGTCCAATACTTATATATCTGCAACAAACTCCTTCTTCAAAACATTAGCCACAAGGTCAACTTTGTTTGGATAAAGGTTGAGCTGCCAAGTGATTGAAATTATTCAAAAGTAAATTTTCAACTTTTATAATAAATAAAGTTCACATGTTAGTGATTTTTCTCCATGTTGTCAATATTCATGTACCAGATAGATATAATCATATAATTATTAAGCATTAATTAAATGAACACACTGCATAAAGGTAGAAAGGTTATGTATCACAGGTCCCACATACTGGTTGTGATACATAATCTTTCTACTATTTATACCTACCAACCTAAGGAATGAGAAGATGTTTAAATATAACTGTATATTAAATATGGTTGAATTATTGTTTACCGATATATCTGTTATAAGTATGGTTCTAAGCAGAAATCTCTGGGGGGGGACATCTCTAAGTTTGTTTGTAGTAAAATATCAATCTGGTTCAGATGTCTGGTGATTGGTTTTCCTTTTCAGTGGCAGCAATAAAATTGATCTCAGAACAAAGTGTTTTGTGTTTAATCTGTTTGATTTCTTCAGAAATTGGTCCTTACACAAATTCTTAAATCGCTAATTAAAAAACAGCAGCTGTAGCAAAACATCAGTTGGCACTTATTTGTGTTAGTTATGTAATGGAGTTTACTGCTGATATTTCATAAAAACGATTCCCTGGGTTTTTAATTCAGTTTAAGACGTCTCTCAATTTTACATTGTGATATAAAATTGAGTTTGTTTCTGTAAAATTGTGGATGCCGTTTTGACCACAGTGGTATGGATGTAACAGATACGTACAGTGGTATGGATGTAACAGATACGTGCAGTGGTATGGATGTAACAGATACGTACAGTGGTATCGATGTTACAGATACGTACAGTGGTATGGATGTAACAGGTACGTACAGTGGTATGGATGTAACAAATACGTACAGTGGTATGGATGTAACAGATACCTACAGTGGTATGGATGTCACAGATACGTACAGTGGTATTGATGTAACAGATACGTACAGTGGTATGGATGTAGCAGATACGTACAGTGGTACGGATGTAACAGATACGTACAGTGGTATGGTTGTAACAGATACGTACAGTGGTATGGGTGTCGGGGGTACGTACAGTGGTATGGATGTAACAGATACGGACAGGGGTATGGATGTAACAGATACGTACAGTGGTATCGATGTAACAGATACGTACAGTGGTATGGAGGTAACAGATACGTACAGTGGTATGGATGTAACAAATACATACAGTGACATATCAGCTGTTTACATTGATGACTTCACAAGTGGTATGGATGTAACAGATACGTACAGTGGGATGGATGTAACAGATACGTACAGTGGTACGGATGTAACAAATACGTACAGTGGTACGGATGTCACAGATACGTACAGTGGTATGGAGTTTCTGTAAAATTGTGGATGCCGTTTTGACCACAGTGGTATGGATGTAACAGATACGTACAGGGGTATGGATGTCACAGATACGTACAGTGGTATTGATGTAACAGATACGTACAGTGGTATGGATGGAACAGATACGTACAGTAGTATGGATGTAACAGATACGTACAGTGGTATCGATGTAACAGATACGTACAGTGGTATGGATGTAACAAATACATACAGTGACATATCAGCTGTTTACATTGATGACTTCACAAGTGGTATGGATGTAACAGATACGTACAGTGGCATGGATGTAACAGATACGTACAGGGGTATGGATGTCACAGATACGTACAGTGGTATTGATGTAACAGATACGTACAGTGGTATGGATGGAACAGATACGTACAGTAGTATGGATGTAACAGATACGTACAGTGGTATCGATGTAACAGATACGTACAGTGGTATGGATGTTACAGATACGTACAGTGGTATGGATGTCACAGATACGGACAGTGGTATGGATGTAACAGATACGTACAGTGGCATGGATGTAACAGATACGTACAGGGGTATGGATGTAACAGATACGTACAGTGGTATGGAGGTAACAGATACGTACAGTGGTATGGATGTAAAAGATACGTACAGTGGTATGGATGTAACAGATGCGTACAGGGGTATGGATGTAACAGATACGTACAGTGGTATCGATGTAACAGATACGTACAGTGGTATGGATGTAACAAATACATACAGTGACATATCAGCTGTTTACATTGATGACTTCACAAGTGGTATGGATGTAACAGATACGTACAGTGGGACGGATGTAACAGATACGTACAGTGGTATGGATGGAACAGATACGTACAGTAGTATGGATGTAACAGATACGTACAGTGGTATCGATGTTACAGATACGTACAGTGGTATGGATGTAACAGATAAGTACAGTGGTACGGATGTCACAGATACGTACAGTGGTATGGAGTTTCTGTAAAATTGTGGATGCCGTTTTGACCGCAGTGGTATGGATGTAACAGATACGTACAGTGGCATGGATGTAACAGATACGTACAGGGGTATGGATGTCACAGATACGTACAGTGGTATGGATGTCACAGATACGTACAGTGGGATGGATGTAACAGATACCTACAGTGGTATGGATGTCACAGATACGTACAGTGGGATGGATGTAACAGATACGTACAGTGGTATGGATGTAACAGATACATACAGTGACATATCAGCTGTTTACATTGATGACTTCACAAAGTAAACAATATCATGATCATGACCACAAGTAGGAAATCCTTGTAAGCTTGGATTGTAATGGGAATTGATATCGTCATGTGACATAAATATGATGGAAATGTACCAAATTTTACTGTTGATAAGCCCATGCCTGGTAATAAGCCCAACCCCCTCTTTTCCTTACTTTCCGTGTATAGGGTGGATGACTGGTAATAAGCCCACCCCCCTCTTTTCCTTACTCTCCGTGAACAGGGTGGGTGCCCAGTAATAAGCCCAACCCCCTCTTTTCCTTACTTTCCGTGTATAGGGTGTATGACTGGTAATAAGCCCACCCCCCGCTTTTCCTTACTCCCCCCTCTTTTCCTTACTCTCCGGGAACAGGGTGGGTGCCCAGTTTAATAAGCCCACCCCCCACTTATCTTACTCTCTGTGAACAGGGTGGAGGCCCAGAAATAAGCCCATCCCCCACTTTCGTTACTTTACGTGAACAGGGGGGGTGCCAGTAATAAGCCCACCCCCCACTTTCCTTGCTTTACGTGAACAGGGTGGGTGCCGTACAGTGGTATGGATGTAACAGATACATACAGTGACATATCAGCTGTTTACATTGATGACTTCACAAAGTAAACAATATCATGATCATGACCACAAGTAGGAAATCCTTGTAAGCTTGGATTGTAATGGGAATTGATATCGGCATGTGACATAAATATGATGGAAATGTACCAAATTTTACTGTTGATAAGCCCATGCCTGGTAATAAGCCCATCCCCCTCTTTTCCTTACTTTCCATGTATAGGGTGGATGACCGGTAATCAGCCCATCCCCCACTTTTTCGTACTTTACGTGTATAGGGGGGATGACTGGTAATGAGCCAACCCCCCCACTTTCCTTACTTTACGTGAACAGGGTGGGTGCCAGTAATAAGCCCATTTTGTGTGTACCTCGGTCATATCTTGCAGCTACTGCTCACTCTTCGTCAGAGTGGAAAGGCAACTTTTCATATCAGTGTTATTTATAAATTAAAATTTCATGGTCTGTAAATAATGATGGTTAAAGTTTAGGTGAAGGTCTCAACATGCAGTAATACATTTACATTTAAGAGTTCTCACAGACATAAAAACTTTCATATAGTGCCATGCATTAGAACAATATAACATTAGCACTGTTGAGCAATTTCTCTGTGTTAAAAACAGTGTAACATAACTCTGTTGAGCAATTTCTCTTTGCTGAAACTGTTTTAGTTCTGTAAAACTATTTCTCTGTGTTGAAACTGTTTATGTTTGTTCTGTAAAACTATTTCTCTATATTGAAACTGTTTATATAAGCTCTAAAGGTATTTCTCTGTTAAAACAGGATAACATAAGTTCAGTTCTCTAGAGCTTTTTCTCAGTGTTGATATAGAGCTAGTTCTCTATTCAAACAAGTTAACATAAGCTACGTTGGGTGGTTGGTGGAGCAGTGGATATTGCACTCCACTTTCACCAAGACGGTCACGGTTTGACTCCCCAATTGGATGTGAAAAGGTATTGGGTCACCTGCCTGATCCTGTGGGTTTTCTCTGGGCACTCTGGTTTCCTCCCCCATTAAGACCCCCTGCATGCTTATTATTCGGGCCAACAAGATTGATCAATATAAGTTTATAATACTTGTTTTGCAATCGTTGCAAAATAAATCCAGGTTATTATTCTTATTTATTATTATCAGCTTCGTAGAGTTCTTTCTCTGTTAAAACAATAAAACATTACCTCTGTAGAGTTATTTCTATGAGAATTCATTGGAGCAATACCAGGTTAATTGCAGTTTTTATCAGATATAATGTTTACCTGTATTATACTTTTACATAGATGAAATTTTCTCAATCATGTCTAATGTGTATGCCCTGTGGGTTAGTGAAATAACTCTGCCAGGTACATGTTTATGGTATTCTAAGTGCAGTGTATTCACAGTGTAGATAAAGTAGAAAGAAAGAAAATAAGATTAACTTTAACACGAATTAGTGTGATGTAAGTAAATCACCATTGAAAGAGGAGTAATGAACAGAGATCTACACTCAAGGCAACATGATGAAATTAAAATCTTTTAATATATATTTACCGTACACGTTAGAAAGATGGGGTTTTTTTTTTCAAACATTATTTGCAAATATGGGATATGCTTAATCTGGCTGGCTGATTCGTTTTCGTCTAAAAAGCTCAGGGGGAGCGGGATTTATATTTTCAAAATGGTGGCCAGTTCAAATGCATTTTCATGTATTCTTGTGGTTGGAATGATAGAAAAGTACTCTTTCATGCCAAAGGGTGAAGGATAGGGACATTCCACCCTCGGATTTAAAAAAAAAATTGGGGTGGAATTTCCCTATCCTACACCCCAGGACATGAAAGAGTCTTAAACTATTTACAGAATTGGATATGTCAGTTGCAATATGTAGCTTAATGTATTTTCTTTCATAAGTATATATTAAATCATTGCCACAAATTGAAATTCTTAAGACGAATGTGCTAGTTTCTCCAATTTCAGCTGAGAGGAAAAAAATATAAAAAAATAACAGCCCCCAGGGAGGATCGAACTCCCGACCCCTGGTTTACAAGACCAGTGCTCTAACCACTGAGCTATGGAGGCTTACATGACAGAGTTGCGAGAAACTTTCTTTATATTGGTGATATAATACGACTTTCTTTTAGATATCAAGTTTACATAAATTATATATAAAGAAAACGATACCGAATGATAGCATGTCACAATAATACTCGACTGTATACTCCACACAGCGTATAATTATGTTAGGAAGCGGTACTGACACTTTGCTGGATAACAGCTGACTTGACGTCATAACACAACAAATTCTATAAATAGGGCTTCCCCACATTGAATTAATTTCTCGGTGTAAAACTTCCATTATCATGCAAACAATATCCCTATAGCCGTTGATTTTCACAAATGTATTCATTTCTCTAACAGAATTGTTAAATTAATCGCAAATATTGTAAGTGCTGTACAGTAGCGTTACTAAGGCGTCTCTTCGGCGTCTCTGTTCTGTATAAAACGAAACTAGTCTGTCGGCTAGTGGACTCGCTTGCCGATTTACAGAATTTCAAAAGTCATATATAATTTTAATATCTATAGCTCGATTCAACTCAATCTATTGCAACAAACGTACTGATTACGACCACATGACAAACAACAGCAAAATGTGCAGTAAATCTAGTTTCGTTATGTACGAGCAGTCGTCGCCGACCCGGCAAATTCAATTACACTAAAGTATTATTTCATTGTTGAAGCAGGCCAAGTCATTTCCTATTCAAGCAAAATAAAAATAAATGTATTTTCAAGTAATATTTTTCTATAAATTATGACTGCCAATATTTTCACAAAAAAACTCAGCGTTATAAAACCAATGAAAAACATTTATCACTCTTAAATGCCACATGGAAGTAAATATATACAAAGGTATCACCACAGGGACATGACAAAATACGCCAGATTTAGCTATTAACGTTTGTACCAAGTTTGAGATGATGGCACACAGCCACTGTAACTGTAAAAGCTGCAGTTAATTATAAGCTTCCGCTGTTCGAACGGAAACCTTGTTAGAACTTGTGTGGAAAACTGATATATGTTCGCATACTTTAAGAATTCTTTTGTGCGGCACTTTCTCAAATAGTTTTTGAAATACAGGAGTTAAGGTTATGTCTCAATAATTATTCATATCTAGTTTGTCTTTTTTCCTCCTTTGAAGAGCGAATCAATATTACTATTCCATGTTTAAAAAACAATGGATAGTCCTCAACTTCAAGTATTAAATTGTAAAGTTGCAATATGAAATTTAACAAGTACAGACCACTGTACCAGATATGTTCCACAACGATATAATCGTCCCCTCCTACCTTACCATTTTTCATGTCTTTCAATGCATTAGATACCCCCGCTACAGAGATACTTTCGCTACAGAGATACTTTCGCTACAGAGATACTTTCCCAGCATTTCTGCATTAAAATACGTGTCTATTTATTCTCCACATGTATTTTTCTGTAAAAGGTCCCCGTGTCCATTTCCGCAGCCTCTAGCAGTTCTTTAAACTGACTTTGTTCAAAATCGTCGCATGCCCTGTCAAGTTCTTTCCTGAACTCTCGTTTGTGACGTTTATATTCACCATAGGATTCAAATGTATAATTGATCAAATTTGTCCACGTAATACTGCCACAGACGTATAATCTAATTCTGTGATATAGAACTGTGTTCAGATGTAAAGTAAAGTTATATTTATATTTGAAGATTTCCTATGGAAATTTTAACTCTGACTCGGATCGTTAGAAATTGCTTCTGAATGAAAACATGGTCATTATATCTTGCAACAATACTGATACTTACAGTAGAAATAAAAGACAATTATTTCACTGTTAATGAAGAAAAAGTCATCTCAGATACAAATATCTTTATTCAACAATCTTTATAAATGGTCACTTCTGGGTTTTGGCAGCTGAAAAATGTCAGAAAAACGTATTTTCTGTTTATGTCACATTTTGCTTAATATCATGCTTTTCTCTGACAAATGAGAAGTGATATTAAGCGACATCTGGTGTAATGGTTACCTGTCCCAGTGGCACAGTGGTCTAACACATTGGACGCGGTGGTTCATCGATGCTTTACTGTTAGGTTGTAGACTGATGTCAGTGTTAGTAGGGCTGCAACGATACCCTTACCTCACGATGCTTACAGTGCAATGTGTATCACGATACAAATATCTGCTTGAAAGGTCAACTATATAATGATTGATTTGAGTACAGGATTTTTTCGAGTTTGTTATAGGCTTCTATTGTAAGTACTATCAAATTATATTTTGGTATGATGTTTAGTACTTTTGGGTATGACTGCACACAGGACACATCTTTACTAATGGATTAAAAAAAATAAGTACACTTTTTCAGAGTTTGATAAAAATTCATCAATAATTTCAGTACTGTTTGTGTATCGCGATACAGGCAAAAAAATAATTTGATACGGTACACGAGAAAGTATCGCGATTCAATACGATGCAATATATCGTTGCAGCCCTAGTGATAAAAGACCTGCTTTAAGGTGAAGTATGTTTCAGGTTTCTGAAGGTGACCCCATCCCTGACGGCAGACGAGTCCCTGTTACAAGAGGTGCTCAAATTCATTTGCATAGCTCTAAAATTGACCAATGGTGTGCCAGATAACACACTACAATGGCTGGGGGAGATGTTGTACCAACCATCGGGCACTTTGATTGGTCTGCTTCACAGAGCATCAGTGAAGGGAGAAGCCAGGGATGTTCCAGAAAATGTTAACATAAAGAGGTGACACAATATCCACATTCTCAGGATCAGGAGGATGTGCTATTTCTTCTAGAGCTAGACCTGATGTACAAATACATTGACTTTAGGAATATCAAATATTTTAAATGTAGAATTTCAAAAGACTAAATTTACCTGTTTGATTTTAAATATCTAATGTTTAAAGTTATAATCAGATAATTTTCCTTTTTGATATAAAAGGTTCAAATTTGTAATGAAAGCTTCAGCAGCACTTCTACAGAGAAAGTCAGTACATGTAGGACATTATGTGACTTAAGCCAGTGATTATCATTAATATTATGTTTTACAGGACACTGGACAAGGAGCTATTGTCTTTTATAGCAATGTACAATAGTAAACTTCCTTACCTGCTGTGTAGAAGGTAGGCCATACCCCATTATACATCTTTATTTATATCAGTAGATAAAAGGTTTACTGTGGAGTAATTTACAAATTTATAAAAATATGTCTATCATCAATATTAAAGACAGTATCAGTGATTTATACACCTTTTTAGTGGCTTTAGAGATTCTCTTTGTGTTGTTTACTGTTTAAAATCACTGGAATCTGAGCGGTCACCAACAAACACCTGTGTCACCATCATTGTTAACATACCCAGGGGTATTTCTTGCCAATCACACAGGCATATGTGCATTTCTGACAATGAAATTTCTGTCTAGTCCTTGGTTGCTAGAACACTGATACACTATACCATACCATGACAATGGGACATCTCCCTTACTATGGAAACAATGAATAGCAGTATTCCGTCTTTGCGTATTGCAGAGTTATCTGCTCTTGAGAGCAGGGATTGATTGTTACGTCATTTGTTTGTGAGAGTAACGTCATTAAATTTTGAGAAAACGACGTAATTTTCTCACACAAACCAATGACGTCACAATCAATACCTGCTCACAAGAGAAGATAACTCTGCAATACGCAAAGACGGAATAGCAATTGATGTTACAATTAACGATTTTTGCTTAAGTTTGCAGGGATTGTTTTCCATAATAAGCAGAGCATTTCTCTATATACCTGGTAGTTCATTTCAGAAAGGTGATCACTAATTATTTTAATAAATTACAACCTTATCTAGACCTCACACCAGTCCTAACGTCTATATTAACAGTTAGTGTAGAACATTGACAAAAATGTTAAACTTATAAATCTGAATGTAGTTTTTCTTGTTATACAGACTGAAGATCCAGCAGTTAAGAGGCGACCTCTCCCATCAGCTGACCCAGCGGCTCAATGTGACTGATGCCCCTCACTTCTACAATCTAGCCTCCCTTGAGGGAACTCTCCAGTGTCTGATGCACATCACAGCCAGGTAGGCTGAGTCCTTAAAATGTTTATCTACTGAGTTTGTGTCAGGTTCTTCTTATTTCTGTATTCTATTAGATTTGTTGTGTACTTTGTTAAAATGTTTTATGATGTAAAATGTGAGGACTGATATTATGTATAAAATTGGAGTATGGATTAATGTATTTTGTAGTTAATTGAATTGTTTCGGAGGTTGCTTACCTAATGTTTTTGCTGTGTTTCAGACCAGGCTGGAGTCATGAGAGTACAGAGCTAGACAGTGGGGCACTTTGTTCCCAGGTGCTCCACTGTTTACTGGAGGTAGGTTATAATCTGTTATAAGATGGGAGGTCAGACTGACTATAAATTTGCACCTACAGGCCCGATGAAAGAAAAGGCTTGCTGCATCCGACTTCATGTTATCATAAGGGGCAATTAATGTGAGTCTCCCTCTGCAAGGGGTGGGTGGGTGTGGGGATGTTCTTCTGTATCATCTGCCTACATTGAAGAAACATTGAATTAATCAAAGTTTAAAATGTTGGCCCTCTGTCTCTTCTCCTTTTCCTTCCTAGGTAGACTTTTTATGAGCTTAGATGTTGTGCAAAGGTGTTAAGCAAAGAACAAAGCATAACAAAATTAACCTGTTTTTCTACAATTTTTCTCCCATTCTGATGGACATGGGGAAGTTATTACCTAATTTGCCTTTCGATCAAGACAAGGTTCTTTGTGTTTAAGTCCAAGAGCAATATATGATCTAGATTGGTTACTGTTATAAAGAAATTAACAACTTTTAGGTCCAGAGACTGAACATTTAGGTTTTTATGATTTTTTTTGCATTGTTTTTGTTGGTATTATAAACATTGTCTCTGTGAATCGTTTAATGTTTTTATCAGATATTTCATTTTGTATGCCATGGTAAATGTATACCAGAGGTACGTCCTAGAATTGAATTGTGTTTGATTGTTGGAATAATCCTTCATGTTTGGTTAATATTTTACCAGGTCGTGTCAGCCTTCCACATAGGGCGTGGAGGGACATCAATGTCCTACATGGGGAAGGGTGTCACCAAGTCAGCCACACTGTGTCTGCGACACCTCGCACATGAGATGGCCACATACTCAGACGACAAGGTGATTGTCCTAACAATTTATACACCAGATAGCTACATAATCAGACAACAGGCTAATTGACGTAACTCTTCACCTACAAGCTACCTCTGTCATCCTTCTACTGGTTTTCTGTTTATATATTGGATATACATCTACTTATAAAATTTAATATAAAGTTTATAATGCTGATTTAAATCATGTATTTTGATTATAAAGTAAAAATCAAGAATTAAATATAATAAATTGATACCTCAATACACTGGAAGCCAGTACATGTATTTATTGATATTGATAGATCAGGGGAGATAACTTGTAATGTAGAGAACTGAAACACAGGTAGATCAGTGATCAGTTGAAATACTTTGTATTTTACAAAAGGGAATCACTGATAGATCAGTGATCAAGGGAGATAATTTTGTATTTTATAGAACTGGGCAAGGCAGTGGTCCCACATGCAGCAGAAGTCTGATGCATCCCGCAGTGTATTGACAGGGGACTCCGGCCTGATCTGGATGTTAACACTGTGGGCCTACAGAGACCCTGAGGTGAGGCAGTAATCGACTTTTGAATGAGATTAATTCATATGTTCATACTTGCCAACCTCGGATATACTGAAAGAGGGTGATGACCCTCTTTTGAAAATAAAAAAGAGGGTCATAGCGTGCGACGTCTTCTTCACAACAAATATAAGAAAAGTAGATATTAAATTAGAACTTTAATATTTTAATGATGTAAAAGGTACATTCTACATTAATTTAACTATTCTTCCAGCAGATCTAGCTGATCCTCACCCACAATACCAAATTCAAAGCTGAAAAATAAAAAAGATTTGTGAACAAAACAACTTATAAAATTAATTCATAATAATAAATCTGATGCTGTGTTTTCATAGGCATTTTTTGTGTGTCAATTAAAATGGTCCTGACAAGAAGATGTCGCAACCTACTCATATAAAATATCAGTTTTGTACGAGCGGGGTTTGAATTCTTATTGTCAGGATCATTTTGATTGACAGAAACAAATCATCAAATGCCTGTGCGTGTTTTTGAATGTCTAAGTAACGTCGTTTTTAGCACCAGATCCAACTTAAATATGCGATTAATTCATTTTCCTACGACATTTGATGTGTGAACAATTATCTTTTCTTTTAGCAGTTCGTGTAATAGAACCTGCAAGTCCCGATAACGACTTCTTCCTTCAAGAAGACATAACGTTACCTTCAAAATACAATCTATACTACGTAAATACAATTGTAAAAACAACTCAATTATTCGTTAAAACACCTCACTAATTACTTGTCGATGAAGTTATAAAAACAGGTGAAGGGCTAAAATTCCGGGTGTAACCCGACGAAATCGGGTCACTTGGCAGGTATGTATGTCCAAGGACGCAAATAAAGAAATTAGGAGTTGTTACATTTCACTTTGGTTTGTGGTACCTACAGACACAAATAACTTGTTGACACCTGGTCAGCATTTGGTTGGACCAGAGTTGTTTGTTTATGAAATAAGGTCAGACCTAGCAATCTGATGGTGACTTCAGGTGAGCCTCGACAAAGCCTCACAAGGCCAGCATAAACATTTGCAGGTGTGCCAGGACTAACAGACAAACCAGTTGAACCGGATACGCGAAAGGGTCCCTGGTGCTTTTGAAATACTATTCATGCAATTTTCTGTCATCTTTCTTTCTCAAGATACAAGATACAATAATTTTTATTAAACATCGCATATTTGAAACAATGAAACATTAGCACTATAGTGCTATTCTTGTAGGATGATTCTCTACTCATAGATTATTGTAATAATCTGTACCAGTGCACAATAATTCATTGGTAATCCTCTGAATTTGTTACTTGTCTTAAGGATACTAGAACCTTTTGTTTATACCCATTCAGCATCTACTCAAGCTGTTTCTATTACCACAGTCCCCTTACCTATTTTATATCTGTTACAGGTGAGGGCTGCTGGCCTTGGGATAGCTGTTGCCTTGACATCTACAGAACCAGGTCGTATCGTCATGACCTCCCACTGTAAACATATCCCAGGAGGCATCTGGGGAGCAGCGTTCAGTGTTTTGCTGGATCAAGCAGAATGCAGCATGGTTCGTCAGCAGGCAGCATTACTACTGGTGAACATGACATCACAGACGATGCCATGTGGCAGTGTGGAGCTAGAACAGAACGTGTGGCAGGGTCCTATTGTTACAGATACTGAGTTTGAGGTAAGACAATATAGTAGCCTGAACTTTTGTAACTTCAAAACTTCAAACTATGTCATCCCTCAACTTCAACTCTGATTGAGTGGATCTGCAATACCTTGTTTTTTCATACTTTATGTCAGATAAACTGATTATATCTTGAATTTTTTTAGTGATCCAAACAAATTCCACAAGCTTTAACTATTATTGTGATAATCAGTTACAAAGTATTAGAGTGTGGATAGTATGTATCCAGATTTTTGATAGCACATACTGCCAAAGTTCTACAGTAAATCTATAAAGTGTATATGTTGTTAAATAGGAAGTGTTTTGACTCGTCTAACTTTGACCACTAGGTGTCTCTGGTCGGCCTGACTGCCTTGTTGGCTCTACTTCACCACAGCCAATTTTACCAGGAGATGCTTGTCCTGTTATGTAACTTCTACGCCCAGCCCACCATCCAACCGGTCAGTGTCCTGGAGGTACCGGTCGGTCATCTCTCCTCCACAGGTTCAGACTCGACACTCTCTACTCTAGGTAGGTATCAAAGGTCAAGGCCATCTCCTTCTTGATAAAAGTGTTGCCAGTAGATGGAAAATGATAATTCTTAGAATATAACATTAAATGATTAACTTCACAATTATTTAATACTACGATATCTAAGAACAAGCTATAATTTGTGTTTCAGCGGAGTTTGGAACAGATGGGCTTCAGAGTACCTCGGGGAGTAACCAGGTACGTACCTATATCTTTACTACTACTGCTACAACACTGGGATGTAACAAAATTATCTCATGTTTATTTTCATTTTGATGTATTTTTCTTACGTAAGAATTTAATTCTCAGAATAGTTCTTTGCTGATTTATTTTTTTAATCTAAAATCCAGCAAAATAAATCATTTTGATTGTTACTTTTAATGTGGTAATGTCTGTTGTGGTTACAGCCGAGGTCAAAGGGGAGACAACACATCCATCAGACGTCTATCTCCAGTGGCAGTAAGACACGCAATTCCACCACTGGTCAGTATCTGTAAGGCATTGATCCAACACTGGTCAGTATCTGTAAGGCATTGGTCCACCACTGGTCAGTATCTGTAAGGCACCACTGGTCAGTATCTGTAAGGCATTGATCCACCACTGGTCAGTATCTGTAAGGCACCACTGGTCAGTATCTGTAAGGCATTGATCCACCACTGGTCAGTATCTGTAAGGCACCACTGGTCAGTATCTGTAAGGCATTGATCCACCACTGGTCAGTATCTGTAAGGCACCACTGGTCAGTATCTGTAAGGCATTGATCCACCACTGGTCAGTATCTGTAAGGCACCACTGGTCAGTATCTGTAAGGCATTGATCTCGGTAGATAGGCTCACCTGTCAGTGGATTCCACCAAAACCTTACACATCCTTTAATGACCAAACAAACCATCAGTCAGTAGACTCAGAAAGTATGTCAGCTCTAAAAGCCAGTAGGTTGTAAAAGGCTGTGGGTTTTAATGTAATAGGATTTGAGTATTCCAAACATTCATGCTTGACAGTAGATTATCAAATATTGACAATTTTTCTGCCATTTACTAGAAAATTTATCAATCGGCATTCATAAAGGCTTAATTGTGATGTTAATCTGTTTCTCTTCTGAGCTGTTCCCCCAATTTATTTCCCCCTACAGAGTGTTTCCCTCTAAATTCTTCTTCCCCTCCAGAGCTGTTCCTCCAATAGATTGAGTTTGTTATCCTGATTGAGCTGCTGATTTTGAGTTTGTCCTGTAGACCTGATTTGTTAACACTGAATTTGTTCTGTAGACCCTACAGGTAACAGTAGCAGCAGTACTCTGACCGGGGAACAGTTGGAGTACCAGAGTATTGCCACGCCCTCCCTGGTGTCCTCTGTGTGTCAGTTCCTACGTAACCTGGTGATATTGGCACCTCAGGATACTTTTACCTGTCTGAGGAAGGATTCCTACATACAGGTTCTAACCAAGTAAGACATTGTCATGTCCTCATCATGTAAGCTTTCCTATGTACAGGTTCTAACCAAGTAAGACATTGTCATGTCCTCATCATGTAAGCTTTCCTACATACAGGTTCTAACCAAGTAAGATATTGTCATGTCCTCATCATGTAAGCTTTCCTACATACAGGTTCTAACCAAGTAAGATATTGTCATGTCCTCATCATGTAAGCTTTCCTACATACAGGTTCTAACCAAGTAAGATATTGTCATGTCCTCATCATGTAAGCTTTCCTATGTACAGGTTCTAACCAAGTAAGATATTGTCATGTCCTCATCATGTAAGCTTTCCTATGTACAGGTTCTAACCAAGTAAGATATTGTCATGTCCTCATCATGTAAGCTTTCCTATGTACAGGTTCTAACCAAGTAAGATATTGTCATGTCCTCATCATGTAAGCTTTCCTATGTACAGGTTCTAACCAAGTAAGATATTGTCATGTCCTCATCATGTAAGCTTTCCTATGTACAGGTTCTAACCAAGTAAGATATTGTCATGTCCTCATCATGTAAGCTTTCCTATGTACAGGTTCTAACCAAGTAAGATATTGTCATGTCCTCATCATGTAAGCTTTCCTATGTACAGGTTCTAACCAAGTAAGATATTGTCATGTCCTCATCATGTAAGCTTTCCTATGTACAGGTTCTAACCAAGTAAGATATTGTCATGTCCTCATCATGTAAGCTTTCCTATGTACAGGTTCTAACCAAGTAAGATATTGTCATGTCCTCATCATGTAAGCTTTCCTATGTACAGGTTCTAACCAAGTAAGATATTGTCATGTCCTCATCATGTAAGCTTTCCTATGTACAGGTTCTAACCAAGTAAGATATTGTCATGTCCTCATCATGTAAGCTTTCCTATGTACAGGTTCTAACCAAGTAAGATATTGTCATGTCCTCATCATGTAAGCTTTCCTATGTACAGGTTCTAACCAAGTAAGATATTGTCATGTCCTCATCATGTAAGCTTTCCTATGTACAGGTTCTAACCAAGTAAGATATTGTCATGTCCTCATCATGTAAGCTTTCCTATGTACAGGTTCTAACCAAGTAAGATATTGTCATGTCCTCATCATGTAAGCTTTCCTATGTACAGGTTCTAACCAAGTAAGATATTGTCATGTCCTCATCATGTAAGCTTTCCTATGTACAGGTTCTAACCAAGTAAGATATTGTCATGTCCTCATCATGTAAGCTTTCCTATGTACAGGTTCTAACCAAGTAAGATATTGTCATGTCCTCATCATGTAAGCTTTCCTATGTACAGGTTCTAACCAAGTAAGATATTGTCATGTCCTCATCATGTAAGCTTTCCTATGTACAGGTTCTAACCAAGTAAGATATTGTCATGTCCTCATCATGTAAGCTTTCCTATGTACAGGTTCTAACCAAGTAAGATATTGTCATGTCCTCATCATGTAAGCTTTCCTATGTACAGGTTCTAACCAAGTAAGATATTGTCATGTCCTCATCATGTAAGCTTTCCTATGTACAGGTTCTAACCAAGTAAGATATTGTCATGTCCTCATCATGTAAGCTTTCCTATGTACAGGTTCTAACCAAGTAAGATATTGTCATGTCCTCATCATGTAAGCTTTCCTATGTACAGGTTCTAACCAAGTAAGATATTGTCATGTCCTCATCATGTAAGCTTTCCTATGTACAGGTTCTAACCAAGTAAGATATTGTCATGTCCTCATCATGTAAGCTTTCCTATGTACAGGTTCTAACCAAGTAAGATATTGTCATGTCCTCATCATGTAAGCTTTCCTATGTACAGGTTCTAACCAAGTAAGATATTGTCATGTCCTCATCATGTAAGCTTTCCTATGTACAGGTTCTAACCAAGTAAGATATTGTCATGTCCTCATCATGTAAGCTTTCCTATGTACAGGTTCTAACCAAGTAAGATATTGTCATGTCCTCATCATGTAAGCTTTCCTATGTACAGGTTCTAACCAAGTAAGATATTGTCATGTCCTCATCATGTAAGCTTTCCTATGTACAGGTTCTAACCAAGTAAGATATTGTCATGTCCTCATCATGTAAGCTTTCCTATGTACAGGTTCTAACCAAGTAAGATATTGTCATGTCCTCATCATGTAAGCTTTCCTATGTACAGGTTCTAACCAAGTAAGATATTGTCATGTCCTCATCATGTAAGCTTTCCTATGTACAGGTTCTAACCAAGTAAGATATTGTCATGTCCTCATCATGTAAGCTTTCCTATGTACAGGTTCTAACCAAGTAAGATATTGTCATGTCCTCATCATGTAAGCTTTCCTATGTACAGGTTCTAACCAAGTAAGATATTGTCATGTCCTCATCATGTAAGCTTTCCTATGTACAGGTTCTAACCAAGTAAGATATTGTCATGTCCTCATCATGTAAGCTTTCCTATGTACAGGTTCTAACCAAGTAAGATATTGTCATGTCCTCATCATGTAAGCTTTCCTATGTACAGGTTCTAACCAAATAAGACATTGTCATGTCCTCATCATGTAAGCTTTCTTACTTACAGGTTCTAACCAAGTAAGATATTGTCATGTCCTTATCATGTAAGCTTTCCTATGTACAGGTTCTAACCAAGTAAGACATTGACATGTCCTCATCATGTAAGCTTTCCTATGTACAGGTTCTAACCAAATAAGACATTGTCATGTCCTCATCATGTAAGGTTTCCTATGTACAGGTTCTAACCAAGTAAGATATTGTCATGTACTCATCATGTAAGCTTTCCTATGTACAGGTTCTAACCAAGTAAGACATTGTCATATCCTCATCATGTAAGCTTTCCTATGTACAGGTTCTAACCAAATAAGACATTGTCATGTCCTCATCATGTAAGCTTTCCTATGTACAGGTTGTCAACGAGGGCATCATCCTATTCAGATGAACAATCAGAAGTCACAGTCATTTTGCATCTCATGATTTTTATTTCTGTAACAAAGAAAACAGTAACCCACTGTTATAACATTCCCTCTATTCTCAAGTAATTTCACCTTTGTAATTTATCAACTGAAATGCAACTTTGACCTTTGTGTGATATTTGACCTCTGTGTGGTATTTGACCTTTGTGTGATATTTGACCTTTACGTGATATTATGACCTTTGTGTGATATTTGACCTGTGTGTGGTATTTGACCTTAGTGTGATATTTGACCTCTGTGTGATATTCGACCTTTATGTGATATTTGACCTCTGTGTGATATTTGACCTTTACGTGATATTATGACCTTTGTGTGATATTTGACCATTGTCCGTTATTTGCCTCTGTCCCCAGCATGGTGGACACAAACCTGTTGGATGCGTACATGACAGAGATGGAGGAGGGGTGCTCTGACCAGCTGGAACTTGTCTTCTGTGACCTACTGCACATGTATGCGGCCATCTTGGATCTTTTGCGAGCCTGTGTGGTGTACGATACCCCCATCAGACAGGAAGTGTTAGCCAATGAGGGCTTCATCAGGTCCACAGCAGCTCTCCTCACCATCAGGTTTGAGGGTGTGTATCACCAGCCTGTATGTCTTTCATCAAATGTCAGACCCATACATATTTTCAAATTATTGCCAAAGATCTAAGTTTTAAATAAAAGTCAGCCCTTGCTGTAAGTTTGAATGATAGACAGGAAAACAGTGTTCTAATGGTGTGGTAAATGAGAACCATGTTTTTAAGATTTAAAGATTGTTCACATTAGTTAAAAACTGTGTTGCCAGGCTCTGCAGATGTGGATGGATGTTGTCAGGCCCTTTGGAGCTCTGTGCTGTCTTTTCTCACTGCCCTTCTACAGCTACAGGGGGCCTCCGCCCTCCACAGCTTCACCATGGCTGCCCACACGCTCTGGACATCCATGGCAGGTATGTAGTATTGCTTTATGTCAACACTTACGAAGGTCATTGTATTTTATCCAATAAATTGTCATAACAAAAATTTCTGTCCTGGATATTAGATCTGTAATAAATGATAAGGTTTCTTAAATTTCTGTACATGAAGTATTGGTAATTTAATAGAATAAACATTATATTTATTATAGATCATAATCTATAATTTATAAAGGAATTATTTCTGTACATTGTATTTTGTTTACTGTAGAAACATTGCAGTCTGTGCTACAGAAGCGATTACACCTCAACAAACACCTGTCTGACAATTGTTTACAATTCCTGTCGATATTGTTCAGTGAAGAGGGCAGACTGGTGGGGAGACAACCCCAGCTAGCAGAGGACACCATAACCGTCACTGGTCTCCTGAATACCCCTCTAAAGTCAGGTCTGTAGCTACTGATTTAGTTATCAGGGGATCACAATACAGAATACAAAAATTTAATGAATAAGAGTATCTCATGAGTTCTCAACAGTTGATGTCATCATTGATTAGCTTAATATATTAAGTATATATATATATATATTTGAATTTTATTCTGAAGTGTTCCTATATAATATTACTTTGTAGAGACGACAGATAAAGACGAAGGGGAGGTAACTACAGGTGGCCAGCTTTGTAAGGTCTTGATCAATGTGTATGAACACTCGTGTCTGAAGTCCCCTGACTACAAGCAATCCGACCATATCCATGCCGCCACTTGCCTGCGGACGCTGCTAGCCATCTCCAGCTCTGCCAAGGACACAGCTCTCCAATGTAAGTTTTATCTTGTGTTCCTCATTTTCCAGTTTTCATTTAAAAGATTGGGGGTTGATACATAGGAAAGTGTCATCATTTCTATTTACAAGGTTAAATGTAGCTCTTTAGTCGCAGGCAATGATACACAATGTCAGGCCTGTAATACACAATGTCAGACTATGATACACAATGTCAGGCCTGTGATGAAGGATGTTAGGGCCATAATACATGATTACAGGGTTTGATGAAATATAGATATTTTGACTCGCAAACCTGTAGGAAGTGAACAATATAGACATTTAGACTTATAAACAAAGTGGACAACGCAGCTATGATACATCACGTATAATCATTTCATTTTGCAAATTATAAACAACATTTGATATTTTCTTTAAATAAGATATGTTTGAAAGTGTTGATTGGAAGCCAACTCCAGACCGTATGGTTGCTGTAGTTTCATTTCCATGATTTGATTGTTCCCTAGCGGGCCTGGTGGAGAGTGTCATTGACCACGTCAAACAAACTCACGCCAAACTCAACATGGAGTCCATCCAGCCTGGCAAACCAAACACGAGGAAGAAGGACGACCCTCTGTTGAGTGACCTTATCCTCACATTTGACCTCCTGCGCAACTTCATTTTCCAGAGCCTTGAGGCCAAGGTTGGTTTGTAGCTGGCTTTTCCCTTCGTAATGTATTGTCAACATATGTTTAACCACATGTAAATGTATCTGTATGATGGTACGAAAATGAAATTACTGTAAATTGCTTTATTGCTTTAATATTCCATGTAAATTCATGAGCACAGCCACACTCATTTGCTAATTAAAATCTTCTGAAAAATGTTCATTCATAGATAATTACATGTACTATAGATAATTACATGTACTATAGATAATTACATGTACTATAGATAATTACATGTACTATAGATAATTACATGTACTATAGATAATTACCTGTACTATAGATAATTACATGTACTATAGATAATTACATGTACTATAGATAATTACATGTACTATAGATAATTACATGTACTATAGATAATTACATGTACTATAGATAATTACATGTACTATAGATAATTACATGTACTATAGATAATTACATGTACTATAGATAATTACATGTACTATAGATAATTACATGTACTATAGATAATTACATGTACTATAGATAATTACATGTACTATAGATAATTACATGTACTATAGATAATTACATGTACTATAGATAATTACATGTACTATAGATAATTACATGTACTATAGATAATTACATGTACTATAGATAATTACATGTACTATAGATAATTACATGTACTATAGATAATTACATGTACTATAGTTAATTACATGTACTATAGATAATTACATGTACTATAGATAATTACATGTACTATAGATAATTACATGTACTATAGATAATTACATGTACTATAGATAATTACATGTACTATAGATAATTACATGTACTATAGATAATTACATGTACTATAGATAATTACATGTACTATAGATAATTACATGTACTATAGATAATTACATGTACTATAGATAATTACATGTACTATAGATAATTACATGTACTATAGATAATTACATGTACTATAGATAATTACATGTACTATAGATAATTACATGTACTATAGATAATTACATGTACTATAGATAATTACATGTACTATAGATAATTACATGTACTATAGATAATTACATGTACTATAGATAATTACATGTACTATAGATAATTACATGTACTATAGATAATTACATGTACTATAGATAATTACATGTACTATAGATAATTACATGTACTATAGATAATTACATGTACTATAGATAATTACCTGTACTATAGTACATGTACTATAGATAATTACATGTACTATAGATAATTACATGTACTATAGATAATTACATGTACTATAGATAATTACATGTACTATAGATAATTACATGTACTATAGATAATTACATGTACTATAGATAATTACATGTACTATAGATAATTACATGTACTATAGATAATTACATGTACTATAGATAATTACATGTACTATAGTACATGTACTATAGATAATTACATGTACTATAGATAATTACATGTACTATAGACAATTACATGTACTAAAGATCATTACATGTACTAAAGATAATTACATGTATTATCGATAATGAAATGGGATCATTCTGAATTAACAATCTTATGTAAATCTACATATGGGCATATTGCACAAGACAAATTACACACAAAAATAGAATGGTTTACAGAAAGTAAAAATTTCTTTGTCTTTTCTCTTTTATCATTTGATATCTTTTTTGGCTGAAAATTAAATCTATTAGAATTGTACTTTGGGAATTGCTATTTTTTTCAATCTCATCAGCTTACAGACTGATGTGTTACTCACAGACTGACGCATTACTTACAGACTGATGTGCTACTTACAGACTGATGTGTTACTTACATACTGATATGTTACTCACTGACTGAAGTGTTACTCACAGACTGATGTGTTAGTCACAGACTGATATGTTACTAACAGACTGATATGTTACTTACAGACTGATGTATTACTTACAGACTGATGTGTTACTTACAGACTGATATGTTACTCACAGACTGATGTGTTACTCACTGACTGATGTGTTACTCACAGACTGATGTGTTTCTCACAGACTGATGTGTTACTCACAGACTGATGTGTTACTTACAGACTGATGTGTTACTTACAGACTGATGTGTTACTCACAGACTGATGTGTTACTCACAGACTGATGTGTTACTTACAGACTGATGTGTTACTCACAGACTGATGTGTTACTCACAGACTGATGTGTTACTCACAGACTGATGTGTTACTCACAGACTGATGTGTTACTCACAGACTGATGTGTTACTCACAGACTGATGTGTTACTCACAGACTGATGTGTTACTCACAGACTGATGTGTTACTCACAGACTGATGTGTTACTCACAGACTGATGTGTTACTCACAGACTGATGTGTTACTCACAGACTGATGTGTTACTCACAGACTGATGTGTTACTCACAGACTGATGTGTTACTCACAGACTGATGTGTTACTCACAGACTGATGTGTTACTCACAGACTGATGTGTTACTCACAGACTGATGTGTTACTCACAGACTGATGTGTTACTCACAGACTGATGTGTTACTCACAGACTGATGTGTTACTCACAGACTGATGTGTTACTCACAGACTGATGTGTTACTCACAGACTGATGTGTTACTCACAGACTGATGTGTTACTCACAGACTGATGTGTTACTCACAGACTGATGTGTTACTCACAGACTGATGTGTTACTCACAGACTGATGTGTTACTCACAGACTGATGTGTTACTCACAGACTGATGTGTTACTCACAGACTGATGTGTTACTCACAGACTGATGTGTTACTCACAGACTGATGTGTTACTCACAGACTGATGTGTTACTCACAGACTGATGTGTTACTCACAGACTGATGTGTTACTCACAGACTGATGTGTTACTCACTGACTGATGTGTTACTCACAGACTGATGTGTTACTCACAGACTGATGTGTTACTTACAGACTGATGTGTTTCTCACTGACTGATGTGTTAGTCACAGACTGATGTGCTACTTACAGACTGATATGTTACTTACAGACTGATGTGTTTCTCACTGACTGATGTTTTAGTCATAGACTGATGTGTTACTCACAGACTGATGTGTTACTCACAGACTGATGTGTTTCTCACTGACTGATGTGTTGCTTACAGACTGATGTGTTTCTCACCGACTGATGTGTTAGTCATAGACTGATGTGTTACCCACAGACTGATGTGTTTCTCACAGACTGATGTATTACTCACAGACTGATCTGTTACTCACAGACTTATGTGTTACTTACAGTCTGATGTGTTTCTCATTGACTGATGTGTTACCCACAGACTGATGTGTTTCTCACTGACTGATGGGGTACTTACAGACTGATGTGTAACTCACAGACAGATGTGTTACTCACAGACTTATGTGTTACTTACAGTCTGATGTGTTTCTCACTGACTGATGGGGTACTTACAGACTGATATGTTACTAACAGACTGATGTGTTTCTTACTGACTGATGTGTTGCTTACAGACTGATGTGTGACTCACAGACTGATGAGTTACTCACAGACTGACGTGTTACTAACTGACTGATGTGTTACACACAGACTGATGTGTTTCTTACTGACTGATGTGTTAGTCACAGACTGATGTGTTACTGACGGACTGATGTGTTACTTAAAGACTGATGTGCTACTTCCAGACTGATATGTTACTAACAGACTGATGTGTTTCTCACAGACTGATGTGATACTTACAGACTGATGTGTGACTCACAGACTGATGTATTACTCACAGACTGACGCATTACTTACAGACTGACGAGTTACTCACTGACTGACGTGTTACTCACAGACTGACAGGTTACTCACAGACTGACGCATTACTTACAGACTGACATGTTACTCACTGACTGACGTGTTACTAACTGACTGATGTGTTGCTTACAGACTGATGTGTTTCTCACTGACTGAGGTTGTAGTCATAGACTGATGTGTTACTAACAGACTGATGTGTTACTTACAGACTGATGTGTTACTAAACTCAGGATTATGAAACTGTAGAATTACAGTCACATAAAACAGATACTAAACAGAGGATCTCGAACAAGTCACCATAATAGATGTTTATGAAAGAAGTTTCATCTTTTGAACAAAAACTGATTCTGTATATCATTCGTTATAGAACATTTATACAATTTGTACTGTCTGTTGTAGATGGCGTGCTACTACTCCGGTCTACACAACATCATACACCGACTGTGGGCATGGTGTCAACTAGACCTAGCTGTCATGTCGTCTGCTCTCTCCCTTCTCACCACCTTCATCGCTCACTGTCCAACAGGTAAGAACTATTGTCACAATCAATGTAAAAATATGTTTATACAAATTGAGTTGGATATCAAGCAAGGGAAGTAGTTCCTAAATCTCTGTAAAATAAACTATTGCACTACGTATACATACTTCCATTGCTAGAACTGGATTTAAGGATCCTTATGAATGTATTATTTTACAATGTTCCAGCTACAAGTTCCCTGGCGTACACTACGACCTCAGCCTCTTCTGGAGGTCAGAAGTCACAACAGCTCAGTAATAACTCACTTGTTCACTGCCTCATACGTCTGACAGGGAGAGAGGGCATCAAGGACACCACCCTCCGCACCCTCTTCTCACTCCTCGCCACCCTCACGCTATCCTCCGAGGGCAGGAATATTGTGTTTAAGGTATGTACAGTACGGTATGGGCTTCAGAAGGATAAAGTGTGTGATAACTATTGCTCTCTATAAAGTCTTTTATATATATAGGTCTGAATCTGATATCTGATTCTTTCAATGATAAGGGCTCTAACAATACACCGCTGTGCACCAAAAACCGCGCTAAATTGCTTTGGTTCGGTGTATGATATGTTTTTTCCGTGTTTCGGTTTTTATTCTTACCTGTCTTCCGGAATTTAACCATACATGCGTAACGTAAAATTTGATTGGCTCGTATGATAAAAGGTGTGCAATAGTTGTTGCCGTTACAAAACTTGGCATAAACAAGCATGCAACATGGTGGAGCTTCAATTAAAAAAACTCCCGCTTCCTTTCGCTCGCCCGTTTGGCAGCATTTTGGATTCCGGCTAAATGTCCCCGATGGAAAATCACTCTCCACTTGCCACATTTGTTTCGTAGATGTAAGTTACAAGTCGGGGAACACATCAAACATGGCGACGCATTTAAAGAGGAAGCATAACATTTCGCCATTCTGTATCGTATCAAAATGTATCGTATCGTGGGTAGATATCATGATACGTATCGTATCGTGGCATAGGTGTATCGTTACAGCCCTATCAATGATATGTTACCTATCTTTTAAATGACATTACTCTGAATTGTAATAAAGGACATTGTTCTGAATTCAAAAATGTTTTCATAAATTTACAGAGTAACTTCCTGAGGGAATTCCTGAGTCTGAATCCTAGAAAAAGCAAAAAATCCAAACGTATGCAAAACCTGGAACTGTATTGGCTGGAGCTGCTGGTCAATCTCTCGTTCTCTGTGGAGGGTCAGCAGATGCTGCTCAAAACAGGAGGTAAGGACACAAACAGTGGCCAATATCTTTTTCTTTGGATGGTCAGTAGATGCTTGCAGTTATTATTATTTTTTATATATTTTCTATTCAATTTGTGTGTTCGTTTGTAACAATATTGAAAATGTCTCCACTTCCTTGTTTGTGTATTACATTGTAAATTCAATTCCCTTTTATATTTGTATTGTAAGTTATACTTTAGACTACTGTTATATTTGTATTGTAAGTTATACATTAGACTACTGTTATATTTGTATTGTAAGTTATACTTTAGACTACTGTTATATTTTATTTTTAGACTGTGTAGACCTGCTGTTAGACTTTGTGGAGAGTGGTCAAGGGAAGGTCCAGGAGTGTGCCGTCCTCATCCTCCGTAACATGTGTTGTCACACCAGTAACAAACCCAAACTTCTCGCTAGTGGTCAGTATAGGTGTCAACACTGGTTTGTTGATAGACAAACTGATGTTTACTGTCCTCGTCCTCTGTGACATGTGTTGTCACACCAGTAACAAACCCAAACTTCTCGCTAGTGGTCAGTATAGGTGTCAACACTGGTCTGTTGATAGACAAACTGATGTTTACTGTCCTCGTCCTCTGTAACATGTGTTGTCACACCAGTAACAAACCCAAACTTCTCGCCTGTGGTCAGTATAGGTGTCAACACTCCTCTGTTGATTGGCAAACTGATGTGTACTGTCTTCGTCCTCTGTGACATGTGTTGTCACACCAGGAACAAACCTAAACTTCTCGCCTGTGGTCAGTATAGGTGTCAACACTGGTCTGTTGATAGACAAACTGATGTTTACTGACCTCGTCCTCTGTAATATATGTTGTCACACCAGTAACAAACCTAAACTTCTCGCCTGTGGTCAGTATAGGTGTCAACACTCCTCTGTTGATAGACAAACTGATGTTAAACATAAAGATTATCTCAGATAATGTTTGTGTGTTGACATCTTTGATAATGTAAAGTTTTCACTGGTTTTATATTTTTCTGTTGATAGACTCATGTTTATTGTAAGAGTTTTCGACTGATAATGTTTTTGTGTTGACATCTTTGATAATGTAAAGTTTTCACTGGTTTTATATTTTTCTGTTGATAGACTCATGTTTATTGTAAAAGTTTTCGACTGATAATGTTTTTGTGTTGAGGAATAATATTTCTTTTAAAGGTTATCTCTGATGTTTCTGTATTGACATCTTTGATTATGTTTCTGTGTTGACAGACAAGCTACTTCCCCACCTGTTGGAGTGTCTGACCAGTGATAACACACAAATCCAGTGTGTGGCTGCCTCGGCTTTGTGGGCCCTCGTCTTCAACAACCAAAAGGTGGGTACTGTCATTTTGTCTGGATTAACCATGTTGTCATCAGGGTGGGTATCATGTCTGTGTCTGGCTGATCCATGTTGTGATCAGGGTGGGTACTGTCTCTGTCTGGCTCATCCATATTGTGATCAGGGTGGGTATTGTGTCTGTGTCAGGCTGATCCATGTTGTGATCAGGGTGGATATCATGTCTGTGTCTGGCTGATCCATGTTGTGATCAGGGTGGGTATCGTCTCTGTCTGGCTGATCAATGTTATGATCAGGGTGGGTATCGTCTCTGTCTGGCTGATCAATGTTATGATCAGGGGGGGTATCGTGTCTGTGTCCGGCTGATCCATGTTGTGATCATGGTGGGTATCGTCTCTGTCTGGCTGATCTATGTTGTGATCAGGGTAGGTATCATCTCTCTGTCTGGCTGATCCATGTTGTGATCAGGGTGGGTATCGTCTCTGTCTGGCTGATCTATGTTGTGATCAGGGTGGGTATCGTCTCTGTCTGGCTGATCCATGTTGTGATCAGGGTGGGTATCGTCTCTGTCTGGCTGATCCATGTTGTGGTCAGGGTGGATATCATCTATCTGTCTGACTGATCTATGTTGTGATCAGGGTGGGTATCGTCTCTGTCTGGCTGATCTATGTTGTGATCAGGGTGGGTATCGTCTCTCTGTCTGGCTGATCTATGTTGTGATCAGGGTGGGTATCGTCTCTGTCTGGCTGAGCCATGTTGTGATTAGGGTGGGTATCATCTCTCTGTCTGTCTGATCCATGTGGTGATCAGGGTGGGTATCATCTCTCTGTCTGGCTGGTTCATGTTGTGATCAGGGTGGGTATCGTCTCTGTCTGGCTGATCTATGTAATGATTAGGGTGGGTATCGTCTCTGTCTGGCTGATCTATGTTATGATCAGGATGGGTATCATCTCTGTCTGGCTGATCAATGTTGTGATCAGGGTGGGTATCATCT